CTTCATCCCAATTGAGACTAATCTCAGGGTCAGTGGACAAGTCTGACAGCAGGACTTGCATGATGAATGTGGTTGCATACTTGGCCTTGCTCTACTGTAGAGCTTAAATTACAAATCATGAACTGGAGCTCTGAAAAGAAAGAGAAAAGTTGAGTTCAGGATCGTGTGAGACTTTAACCACAGGAGAATTATGGTATGACTTCTTGTGTTTTCATAGTGAGCACTGGCCATGACTTCTGTTCAAGGAACATGCTACGAACATACATTTTTAGTGGGTGCTGACTACAATGAGCCATTTCATTAGTCTGGCCTCTGGACGGCACAGCTGGACGAGGGATTTGAAACGTGGTCCCAGAACATGTAATTGTATTTTTTTAAACATTTAATATTTCCATGGTCATGTTCCCATTCTAGCACTTCATCACAATAAACTGATGTATGATTTGAATTATGTAAATCTGAACGTCCAACGTAGTAAAATATTAAACATATGTGAATGATGCGAAGATTGAGTGTTACATTAAACATCCAATATAAAAAAAAACGCTCATCAGGCCTGTCTGAGAACTATCTGGTCCTGATATTCTAATGAGCACATTTGATTGATGTACCTCACTCCAACACTCGCAGCTTCCTAGGTTAGCTTTCACTTGGTTGTTAGCTTTTGTGCAGTGAGTTTATCTGACTCAGAGAGAGATAGTGTGAAAAAATGTTTTTTTTTAAAGTTGCAGGGGCAGGACAAGCCACATCAACCTTGTGATTTGTGAGGGTAATGCTTATGTAAGATAAGGACCACCCAGCATGCATCAAATATGGAGAATTTCAGCAAAATACACTGCACATTTATTGAACACTGGAAGATTGTTTGGGCATAGACTGTATTGTGCCCACAAAAGCAAAATTAACATAACTAGAAAGAAAACATGGTTTTAGGCTTTGGGCTTTACTAATGTTGAATAATATGCACATTACATTCCTGTTGTAATTTTACCAAACTTTTACCAAAGAATGAAATAAACCTATGAACCATTTCCTCTAACAGCAATCACCATGTGAATCTGTCAGCTGTACAAAGTGTTTGACTGCAAAATGCATCCATCAGGCCTGGATTTCCACTTGGTTCTGTGTTGTTTGTTGACACAAGAAGGCCTAAGCCACCTGATGTTTTAAAAAAGAGCACCTATCATAGATTCGTTTCCTTCCAGATATGGAAGCTGCCAAGAAAAGAACCAAGAGAGACTTGTTTATGCCTTTTTCCACAGCTGGAGGTTGCAAACTCAAGGCCCATCCAGGCTAAGAAGGAAATGGAATCGATACTTGAATGTCCAACCATGACCTCACACTCGACAGATTGATAGCGCCAAGTGCTCACAGCTTCGCTATGCGGATTGGTAAACCAGCCTGGAGTGAAGTTTAGCAACTTTCGGGCCACGAGTTATCATCACCAGTTAAGATTACAGTATAACAACTCAGAAATGGTCTGAAGAAACAGTGCAATATCTCAGAAATGGTCTGAAGCAACAGTGCAATATCTCAAAAATGGTCTGAAGCAACAGTGCAATATCTCAGAAATGGTCTGAAGCAATATCACTCAACTTGCCACTTTAATTACGTCAGTACAGCCGGAAAATAACTAAAAAGAAAATTGTCAGTGTCAAAATTTCATCATTAACATGCTGTCTGATGCCAATCCATGCATATGTATGCAGGTTTGGGATGTAACAGAAAACCAGTATTAGGAATACGGATTCAGAATACAGAAATGAAGTATCTGTATTCAGTCCAAGTTAGATTTTGTAAAGGCCGTATTCAGAATACAGTTACTCTTTACATTTTAGGAGAATACCTAGAATACTCACCACTACATAAATAAAAAAACAATCTTCAAAAGAAACACCATCAATGCTTGTTTATTAACAATGGCATATAGCAAACATGATCGCAATTCATGAATTCTAAAGAAGACCTCAATTATTGGCCTCTTTACAAACAATGAAGTGCCTGCTAAAGCCTGAGTAGACTGATAAATCAGTGTGATCAGTTATTAATCTCAGTGTTACTGAGCTCTGCTAAAGCCTGAGTAGACTGATAAATCAATGTGATGATCGGCTATTATTCTCAGTGTTACTGAGCTCTGCTAAAGCCTGAGTAGACTGATAAATCAGTGTGATGATCGGTTATTAATCCCAGTGTTACTGAGCTCTGCTAAAGCCTGAGTAGACTGATAAATCAATGTGATGATCAGTTATTAATCTCAGTGTTACTGAGCTCTGCTAAAGCCTGAGTAGACTGATAAATCAATGTGGTGATCAGTTATTAATCTCAGTGTTACTGAGCTCTGCTAAAGCCTGAGTAGACTGATAAATCAGTGTGATGATCGGTTATTAATCCCAGTGTTACTGAGCTCTGCTAAAGCCTGAGTAGACTGATAAATCAATGTGATGATCAGTTATTAATCTCAGTGTTACTGAGCTCTGCTAAAGCCTGAGTAGACTGATAAATCAATGTGGTAATCAGTTATTAATCTCAGTGTTACTGAGCTCTTTTGAGGGATAATCAAACCAATAATCTCCTCTACAGTGGACATGTTGGTGAGTGATAAGTTTAGCAATGGTGTTGTACTTGACTCCTGCTTGAGGGATTGTGGGAGCAGCAGTGGACTGAAGCAGGCAGTGATCTGCACTCTGTGTAATTTACTGCTGTTGTGTGTTGCATTATGGGGCCTGAAGAACAACATTTTGTTCCAATGTCTACAAGTTGTATTGAGGAATGACCAATAAAGACCACTTGACTTGACTTAATATGTTCTTGTATATTAGCTTCATGAAGAGTATCAGCAAAAATGCATTTAATGACCACTATTGAACATCATATTTTGACTTTTGTGCAATCAAATTAATATCAGTTGTTTACCATGAGAGGTAAGGAATGCTACAATGGTATAATATTTTACCTTACTGAAAGAGAAATTTCCTATAAGATGCTATGCTGTATGTTCAGCGCTGCTTGAGAACCGCAGTTTTTTTTATTTCCAAGAATTTCCATATATTTCCATATATTTCCCAGAACTCTTATTTATAGCATTTGTGGCAGACAGCATTATTAAATTTAATGATGGTCACTTGAGACAGGTTATTATGATTTCCCAGCCCTGAAAAACAGAGGACTATTTATAACTTTACATGAGAACATATCTCTAGGCTTTATGGCACTATAGGCTGGGTCGAGGTCTATTGAATTATTTCAGATAAACACTGAGGGATTTAGATTGCACTGGATAACCTAGGCAGGCTTACTATTTAGTTATTAGTCTAATAGTCTGTAACAATGGCAAGTTATTTGATAACTCTATGACTTTAGCTATTATTCAGTAACGACTAAGATTAAGTCACAGTGAGTAGCATAAATTATTTGGTAACTACTATAACTAATAGCTACGTTTCTGTAGTTATAAGCGCTAGAAAAGTGTGGACCCACAAATAGGCCTGTTAGAGCTTAAGGGTTTAACACACTTCTGCCAATCCTATACAAACACTGGTTTACATGCTTACACATGTGCAAGTACAAAGAAAAACAGCTGGACGCCTCTACCACGGCTCATTAAAATACCACAAAGGCTTTCATTGTTAAAACATATGTGTTTTAGACCTGCAGCACTGTGCAAAAGTCAGAGCCCATCCTTTTTTCAGGAGATGTTTCTGAGGAGATTAGATATAAGATAAACCCCCTGAATAAGGAAGGAGCAAGTCAGTGTAAAATAAGTGAAAACCTTTTCAAAACTGGAGTTGAAAAATGATTAAAAGCTACAGAGAAAATGAGCCTCCTAGTAACCACCTGGAAGACCTGGTAGACACCAAAACTGTCCCCATCAGATAAGCAGCACTTAAAGCTTTCATCTTTGAGAGAGAGGAGAAAATCAAGCTGCTTCAGATCTGAAAACATCCACAGGTGTTACTGTCCATCCTTCCACTGTGAGAAGATGACTCAGCGCTGTGGGTCTGAAAGGATGTGTAGCTGTCAAGAAGAACCTCACTGAGAAAAGGAGACGGACACATCAAACAAAGAAGCTGAACAATGGACTGACCACCCCAGAGTCCAGACCTCAACACCACTGAACGTGCGATTACTTGGATCTTGAGAAGCAAAAAATGCAACCAACTTCTAAGACTGAACTTTGGCTGTGTGTAAAAATGTCCTATAAAATGAGTGGAAGCTGTAATAAAGCATGTAGTGGGAAAATGTTAGTGAGGGAACGTAAAGTTCTTATGATGGACCGCAAAACATTTGCAAGGAATGCAAAATTATTGCAAGGGAACACAAAATTATTGCAATGGAATGTAAAATTATTGTGAGAGAACAGAATTAGCGCAAGGGAACACTGAATTATTGTGAGGAAATGTAAAACATTTATAAGGGAATGTAAAATTTTTGTGAGAGAACAGAATTATCGCCATGGAACACAGAATTATTGTGAGGAAAAACATTTGCAAGAGAATGCAAAATTATTGTAAGGGAAGAATTACTGTGAGGGAATGCAAAGTTATTGCGAAGGAACAGAATTATTGTGAGAGTAAACAGAATTATTGTGAGGGAACGCAAAACATTTGCAAGGGAATGCAAAATTATTGCAAAGTAGCAAAATTATTTTGAGGGAACAAAGAATTATTGCGAGGGAACGCAAAACATTTGCACAGGAATGCCACATTATTGCACGGGACCAGAATAATTGCGAGGGAACACAGAATCATTGTGTGAGAACGCAAAGCATTTGCAAGAGAATGCAAAATTTTTGCGAGGGTACAGAATTATTGTGAGAGAATGCAAAACATTTGCAAGGGAATGCAAAATTATTGCGAGGGAACGCAAAACATTGGCAAGGGAAGGCAATTCCATTATTTTTTTTAAACCACGCCACCTTACAAATCTGCTGCAGCCGAATGAAAATGAAGCAGAGGTAAAGGGGGCGTGGCTTGTTGTTCAGTCCAGCTATAAGGCTGGGCGAGACGGAGCTGAGTTTATATGCTCTGCTCTCATCACTCCGTTAAGCTCAGACTCTACCTGAACCATCACACCGTTTCACGGCTGTCTGGTCGAGCTCCTCCCGGACAGCATGGCTGGGGGTCTGAGGCTCTGCTTCTGCGTCTGCTTCGTCTTCTCGCTCGTCCAGCGGACACTGGGCGCCACAGACTCGCATAAAAAGCACGAAAACGACGCGGCTCACCATCACATCACCTCCTCCTCCGCTAGACCAGGTAGGACTGAGGAGTTCTCCCTTCTCGCTCCTAACCTCCGCATTTCTCTGTGCTTTGCTCTGTTTCTGTTGTTCGTTTCGGGAGTTTGATTTATTTTGATTTTGGCGCGTGAAGGCTGTTATTTTGTGACTTGAATTAGACTTAAATCGATTTACCTCAGCAGATTTCACCTCAGCTTACGGTTTCTCTGTAGTTTCCAGCTCTAATCTGGGGAAAACACCTGTTTATCTCCGTCTTTTCTCTTCTCTCTCCTCATATCTCTCTCTTCTGGGTGAAATTGAATTACCTGTTGTCTTATTTTCAGTATGACTTGCTGCTGGATGCTAACCAGCTAACCGTGATTTTCTCATTAAACACACCTAGAGGCTGGCGATATGGCGAAACATCGCGATAATTATATCATGATACTTCAAGACCTTTTCATGATGCACGATATGCATCACAATATTTCGTTTTTCTGAGATTTAATAAGTTGGAACAGACAAAATAGCAGCTGTGATGACACATATTAAAATACTATAATAATAATAATAGTAATAATAAACCAGCGGTGGGCAATATGACGGTATTTATCATTATCATGATACATAACGTCACAAAGTGCTTCTCTGAGTGTATTGTGGATATCGTCAGTACTAAAAAACCCACCAGCTGCATATTCCATTACAAAGAGGGCGAAATTAGAGCTGTTTAATTGGAAATATTGCAGTTTAAGATGTGAAATGTTTAGTAGAAATTATTGTATTTATTACTTTTGATAATATATATTTTTTTAAATGTGGCATTACTGTTTTTTTTTGTCTGTTCCAGCTGATCAGATGTCAGAATAAAATATTGCGGCTTATCGTCCATCATGAAAAGTTCTTAAAGTATCGTGATATTATATTTTTGCCTTATTGCCCAGCTCTGCTTACAAGTACAGTGGTTTTTATTCAATTATGCTCACTTTGCAATGAAACATGCAGTTAGTCAGAGTTCTTTAAGTACTGACATCCACGATATGCTCAGAAAAAGTGTATTGTGACAGTTTATCTCGATAACGATAACATATCGCTTTATTGCCCCCCACTAAATCCATATGTTAATGCCATAGTTATTGCACCAGATGGCACTCTGTTTTATCTGTTGAACAGAGGGCAGTTGCTTTAAAAAACTGACCACACCCCTTAGCAAAAAACAACAAAAACAACAACTTGGCCACACTAATCAAATTAAGTTATGTAGCTTACTTTTAATTTAGTAATAAAAAGATTTTTCAAAATTTCTGTGTAATTCAGGGGTTGAGATGTCATTCTGAGTGGTTTGGTGTGAAATGGTTCATTGGAGAGACTCAGTGGTGGTGATAGGAACCAGGGGTCGCCATGACTACAACACAAATATAGCCATTTTATTTACTATCCAAAACCACCAGTGAACCTACAGGAGTCTTCTGAGCTTTTATATGGAATGTTGATGATGGTAAAATCTACAGGCTTATTACAGCTCATTCCAGGCTTATTACATACTAAGGCTTATTATTCAGTAACTACAGGGACTTCAGTGCAAACTAATGGAGCATTTCTTAGGTTATCGAAGTGTGTAATAAAACTTTGGTTTGGTAAGAGGTTAATTATGCTGGCATTTTGGAAAATCAGTGATATTCCCATTTAATTCTTTTTTTTCCTTTCGTATATATATAAATTCTCTGAAACTCTTGGGAGCCTCCTTCAGAAACCCACTCGTTAGAGCCTTCAGAATCCCACTCAGGGTAGCCCTCAGAATCCCACTTGGGTTTGGGAAAGTGTCATTCTGAAAGCTCTAGGTTGGCCTGTATGGACCTCTCATTACTTTCCTCTAATTACTTTCGTCTCCACAAAGGGCCCTACAGATTTGAGGTACTGTCAGCCTGCCAGGTGAGCCTTTGTGCTTAAGTCTTGTCATCTTCCCAAAAAAAAAGAGTAAACCACAAGTGAACCTTTCTTCCAGTCCCACTTGAGGCTGGACTAAAGCAGCGGTGGGAGGAAACCAGTTGTTATTTTCGTTTTGGTGAGGCTTTTTCGAGAAAATCAAAGGGAGCGAATATCCTATTAGAAACCCTTTCCAAAGGCCTTAGGCGTCTGGGCCCTCATCAAAAGAGGATTAGAGCCAGAGTACTTGGACCGTGTGTTCGGTGGATTAGGTAGGACAAATGGTCAAACTTTGATTCATCTCATCTCTGATTTATCTTGTAAACATCAGCAAGTAATGGGATTTGTGTTTGTTTCCATTCAGAGATGATAAACTCCAGAGCCACTCTGTTCGGCTGGGACAGGGCCGGACCGTTACAGGTCCGGAGAGGCTCTGTACTGCAGTTTTGGGTTTTTTCTGCTCTCTCACATGTGATTAGCTTTTCTGGAAGGGCTGATAAGTAGCTGAGGTGTGTTGGAGCAGACAAAACACAGAACTGGATGTTACTTGTGGTCTGCAGGAGGTTTTCATAAAGCAATAAAAGCTAAAAGTGAAGCACTGACGTTCCTGTTGGATGTTCTTCACTTGCTATGTTTCCAAATTGCATTAAATGAAAATGCTTTAAGAAAATGCTTGAGATTTCTATCAGGCTGACTTTTAGTGATAGAAATACTTTGCGTAATTGCTCCGTATCCATCTCTGATTTTATATTTGTTGCAAAGTTTGGCTCCCCTGACTTTCCCATAACCTACTGCTAAAATTTTTATTTAATTTTTAAAAATTAGGCTCAATCCCATTTCTTATTTTTACTCCTATTCCTTGTTTTCGAGTGTCACATTGCCTCTTGGAACTGAGTTACAAGGAGTAGTGGTTGAAATCTTCCCTATGAGGTGAGACTCTCAAATAAAAAGAGCATTACTTCATTAACAGCTACTAGCGCTGCTCTGTAGGCGACCCTGCCAGCCTGCAGTGATAGCAGAGGAGGGTAAAGCTCAGCAACCTCACTGCTGGGCTTTAGTTACATTTAGGGAATTATATGCCTTCAAAATATTCTTGAATATTCTTATTATGTTCATATTTTCAGATAAAAAAAGTGCCATGAAGTTTGAATTTTGCATTACGTTTACGTCGCGTCTTCTTCTGCGAGTTTATTGGCTGGTTGCAAAGCAGAAATCTGATTACTGTCTGACTCGTAGACCCAGAGTTTCCCCATTATCTGATTACTCAAACGTATGTAAACGCGTTGATCAGATTATGACAAAATCTGACTTTCTGCAGTTATCAGATTATTGAGTGCACGTAAACACACTCAGTGTCTCAGACATCAGCAGTGTATTGATAACCATATCCTGTAATAAGTGCCAGTGAGGGAGCTTTTGCAGGCGATAAACTCTCCAGATGTCTGGTTCCTATCGGAATTACTGTGAACATTTCTGTCTCGTCAAGTTTCCCTACAACAGAGCATTTCACAGCAAACCGCTCTGGATGACTTTGCTTACATCTTAATGATTGACCTGTGCAGAAGATTTGAAAAATCAGTTCCCCTTTAAGGCCTTTGTACAGAAAGTGCTCAGAGACTAATCCCTTCCATTAAAACACGTTTGGACCACTCTCATGTGGATTTAATCTACTTATTAGAGGCTTTTGCCCAAACTTGTGGAGTTCGTTGCCAGCTCGAGAGCTCACTGTCATTAAAGCAAAAAGGGACAGACTGAAATTCATGATGGAATTTCAAAGATTTCACTTTTTACTTGATTTGGTATGCAGATAATACCATTTGTTATTAAAAAAAACTTCATATGGGATTAAAAAAGGAATGCAAAATTTCACTAGCGGTCTCAGACTTTCAGACTCCACTGTAGGCTTTCGCAGCATTTCAGGTATTGACGAAGTTTATTCACTAAAGGAGAACGGCAAAGAGGTCGTAAAACATTACTGACAATGTACATTTCCCTTGTTTACACTGATACTTATTTTTTTCCCCTTGGATAAAAATGTGGCAGCTTCAGGCTTAAGTTATTCAGCTTTACTGAAGATTCATGCTTCGTGAGGTATTCGGAAGTGCCAGCTGTTATTTGCCAAACAGTTCAGCTGCTGTGCCTGTCATTTTGACAAGCCATTTTAATATGAACCTGATGAGAAAAACAGCCACTGATGCTAACTGTTTTCACACAAAATTTCAGCCTTTCAGCTCCTTGAACGCCTGAGGGTGTAGAGGTGGGCGATATGGCGAAAAATATTATATCACGATACTTCAGGACATTTTCATGATACAGAAGATGCATCTTGATATTTTGTTTTTATGAGATTTAATCAGTGGGAACAGATGAAATTGAACCAGTAGTGTTGCATTTTCAAAAAACTATAATAATAATAATAATGATAATAATAAATCTACAACTACAATGATTTTTGTTCAGGGTTTTACAAACTGCACTGCACTAAATCCAATTAACCAATGAACCACGCCCACTTTGTAATAAAACATGCAGTTAGTAAGTAAGTAAGTAAGTCAGTACTGACGATATGATCAGACGAGTGTATTGTGACACAATTTATCACAATAAAATACAGTAAAATACCATCCTATTGCCCACCCCTGTGAGAGTGTTTTACGAAGATTATTTTAGATGGTTCAATCTGTAGCTTTAAGCCTTAAAACCTGGGGAGTGTTTCACAAAATAAAATAATAATAATAATAATAGTATAATAATAGTATAATAAATAATAGTATAGTATAATATAATAATTATAATAATAATAATAATTATAAGTACCTTACAGACAGGTTATAAAGATAATAATTACCTTATTATCAGTATGACAACATTAATATACATTCAGTGTGACTCTTGTTGCCCAGCAGTTCGTGATTCGCTGTTTTTCCTCGTAAAACCAATAAAAACACTGTCGTAGCAGAGCGGCACTGACGTCATCAATAGGCTGGCGGTGCATGACAGGCTGAGAGTGCATGTCTGCAGCCAGCCCCTTCTCGACAATTCAGCTTTGTAGCGTGCAGCTCAAGTGTCAGTAAACAGTGATTTTAGACATAACCAATAATGGTTGAATATAGCAGTACCTTTGCTGTCACTGGGGCTGACATGATCATGAAATATATATATGTGTGTGTGTGTGTGTGTGTGTACATAGAGTTTTTTATTATACATTATTATATATATGTACACACATATTTCGTGATCTATTAATTATAATTTATTATAAATAATAATAATATATAATAGTTAATGACTCTTCTTTTTTGAGTCTTTTCTTGTTTTATTGTTTGCAACTGTTAACATACAAACCTGAAGTGGTCACATTGGATAATTACTCATCTTACTCACTGGCTATCGCTGCCAACAGAACAAAACCTTGTATCACCATTTTTCTTGTTTTTCAGTTTTTGACATTATCTGAAAACGCTTGTTGTCCTTTACATTGTGTGTAAATTTCATGATAAATAGGCCAAAATAAACAGCCCAAAATGACTTGGAAAAAAGTCATTGACTTACATTAAAAGTACCTTTTAATCTTTAATATTTTAATACCTTAAATCTAGCCAATCTATACTTACACATATAGATTGACATGTTGTACATATTCTATCCATATCTTGTGTAATCTGGAAGATTTCTATATCAATATTCTATCCCCTGTGTACCTGCATCTCATTTATTGTCTACCTCAGACTCACTAACTGCACATACAGAAATGTGTACAACAGTACATATCATAGTTTTTATTTCATAACTTATTACTGTACAACTGTACATTGGAAATAGTGTAATACTAGTGTATATTGTGAGTGCGTATTTTGTGGTTTCCATCCATGTTAAGTCCCCAAAATACTGGAAACAAAGTCTCTGAAACTCAAATAAGCCTCACTGGGGGTTCAGAAGTCTCCATTTGTTTATGAGCTTTAGGTTGGCTTTCATTGCTTTCTTAAAATTGCTTTGGTCTCTCTGTAAAGTGCAGTGAGAATAGGTTAACACATCCTTTTAAGGGAACAAACCTAATGGGCAATTCCACCAATTGTTTGGAATTCTGCATCATTAAATGGTCAAGATGTAAACAGAGTCATTCAGAGTGGTTTGGTGTGAAATATTCTGGTCTAGTGAAACTGACTGAGTCATTATTGTTCACAGTGGTGGTGAAATAAACCAGAGGTCTGAAGAGTTTAATACCTCTAAAAGCTCCCTCAGAGGAAATTATTACATGAAATGGCTGCCTGGTGCCTGAGACTTTGCTTTAAAATAGTTTGGGAATAAATTATTCCAAATAAATTTTTATATTCTATATAAATTACTGTTGTTTTCCCAATATGTTAAATTCAGCAAATAAAGAGTAATTGTGCATTAAACTGTGCAGAGCTCTCTGTAAAAGATGGTAACATATTTTCACTTAGAAAATCAACAACACATGTCATTTGACCAGGGGTGCCCAAACGTTTGTAGAGATATTTAAAAAAGTCCTTATTCCAAAGAACTTGCTCTTTCTCTTCCAGGGGCCTGGAATCCAGGGGAGGAGAAACCGAAGCGACTCTTCGCCAGGACACGTTACATATCCACGCAGAGAGTCCACGTTCCGGTATGTTATTTCACACTGTAGCACCTATGAAGGACACCCAGTATCTCAGTGTTTCTCAGTCCCGGAGTTCCCTACCCTGCAGAATCTGTATTCTCCCTGCCTCATCCAGCATATCAGCTCATTAACAATCCCTGTGGGTGTGTTAGAGCAGGAAAAGCACTGTTGAATTCTAGCTTGTAATAGGCGTGTACAGTTTACTGACGGCCAGTATGTTATAGCTGATGGACGTTATAATTGAATTCTTATTATTAGTCCAATGTTGTAATTACAACCAATACATCGGCACCCTGTGTCTGCACATATACTCGCTCTCTAATGTTGCAGAGTGACAGTGTCAACAATGAGTGCGTTTACATGTACTCAATAATCCGATCATAATCAGATTTCTGCAGTTATCTGATTATTCAATTGGTCTTGTAAACAACACACTCTGATTTCTTAGATAGGAGTAAGGTTGAGAAATTCGATTTAGAAATCAGTGCATGTAAACTCTTACTCTGATTTCTTTCGGATTTCTCAGTCTGCGCATTGTCAAAAACAGATGGAGCAAAACACTTTCGGAGCGATGCTGAAACTACATGCTCGATGAAATGAAGGATTTAAATATTCTTCATCTTCTAGATGATGTTTGTTCATATTTTCAAGTAAAATGGCGAGATGTTTTTTAAAAAGCTGCGTCATGAAGTTTGAGTTTTACATTACGTTTATGTCGCGTCTTCTTTGAGTTTATTGGCTGGTTGCAAAGCAGAACTCTGGTTATTGTCTGACTCATGTAGACCTTTAGTTTTCTCATTATTTATTATTATTATATTATAAAATTTTTTTTTCTGCTTAATTAAATCTTTAAGCTGCCATCAAAGCCAATCAGAATGGTTTGGTGTGAAATGCTCTGTTTTAGAGAAACTTACAGAGTCAGAATTGTTCACAGTGGAGACGTTTGAAGAGTTTAATGCCTCTAAAACCTGCCTCAAAAAAGTTATTAACTTAAATAGTAACAAACACATTGTCTGATGCCTGAGGCGTTGTTTTACGATAGTTTTTAGATGAAATTTTGCTCTAAAGCGTATTTATTAAATATATTCATGGCGGAGGGGTACATGAAGAGTGTTGCAAGGCAAAACCCCTGGTTCCTATCACCACCACTGTAAAGAACTTTGAGTTGGTAAGTTTCTCTACAATGAACCATTTCACAATTGGTGGAATTTCTCTTTTAATGCTACTTACCAAATCACTCATTAAAACCAGCAATCTGTATATGAGACAGCTGGCATTAGCAACTAGGATCTTCAGAGTTTAAAAGGGGAATTACATCAATTTTTCAAAATTTCTGCATAATTGATAACAATTCATAATTGCATGATTTTGTAGCAATTGGTGCAGTGTAGTTGGTAATACCATTACCCTCCACCAACAGACCTGGGCAAGTTCACCACGCTATGCCATTAAGAGTCCTTGGGCAAGACTCCTAATGCTACCGTTTGCCTTCAGTTGATTATAGTGCAATGCTGTATTTACATGTTGTGCTGAATTTTGAAAAATGTATGTAATTCTCCTTTGAGTTGCATAAGCTTACTGTGCTTTTCTTGTGGAATATAGGTGAAACTTAAAAAATGCTAAATCTTTGGTATCAGCATTCCACAGAAAGGCGACTGTTGAGCTTGATGAGAAATTTCATATATCTGGTATATAGTTTCCTGTCTAATCTGTATCCCATGTGCGTTGCAGAGACCCAAGCCGGAGCCGGTGGGTGCGGCCCCTGTCCCTGTTCGACGCTGTGCTGGCCTCATGGAAAGCTGCTCTGGACGAACCCCCTGCTGCGAGCCCTGCGCCTCCTGCCACTGTCGACTGTTCAACACTATCTGCCACTGCTGGAGGCTGGGAGGCTGCCCCAAAAAGACCTAACATACAGAAGGGTGTGATCTCTGACCTCACAGTTACGATTCTTTTCAGTTATTTTGATACGACTCTGAATCATTTAAAAACTATTTACACAGTAGTAGAATTAGGCCTATGCCAGTGACAGAATCCTCTGAGGAAAATATCAGAGCAAAGGGGTAAACCAGAACTTTAGGGGCAGGGGGTATTAAAACACTATGTCTAAAGGTAATTTTGAGACGGTTCCTAACAATGAGTGTGTTTACATGCGCTCAATATTCCGATCATAATCGGATTTCTGCAGTTTTCAAATTATTCAAATGGTTGTGTAAACAGCATAATCTTATTTCTTAGATCAGAGTAAGGTCTAGGAATCTGATTAGGAAATCTGATAGAGAGCTGGATTTTAGCTCAGTAATCGGATTTCTCAGTGCTCTTACTCTGATTTCTTTCGGATTTTCTTAGTCTGTGTATATGCGTAAACAGACGGCGGTACTGGAAGTAAGCGAGCAGCGCCGCCGCGAAATGGCAGCAAAACACTTTTGGATTAAATTTTCTTCATCTTCTAGATGATGTTTGTTCATATTTTCAGGCAAAGTGATGCAATGTTTTTTTAAAAAAGCCGCGGCATGAAGTTTGAGTTTTACATTACGCTTACGTCACGTCTTCTGTGAGTTTATTGGCTGGTTGCAGATCAGTAAATCCGATTACCATCTGAATCATGTAGACCTGGAGTTTCCCTTTATCTGATTACTCAAGTGCATATAAACACGTTGATCGGATTACTGAAAAAATCAGATTTTCTTCAGTTATCGGATTATTAAATACATGTAAGCGCACTCATTGTTTAAAAGTTGTTTTTTAACTAGCATTAAATTGTTTTTTACTGTCAAAGGGGGCTGTTACTGTGGTAACCATCACCAGGCACAGGCCTAAGCGGAAGACAGACAATAACAACCCCAAGCGTTTTTTATTTTTGGGTATTAAAATAGCCTAAGAATGTGATTTTGATTAAAAATACTTTTTTGTGTGTTATTCATTAGACTATAAATGATTTTGACGTTCCAAAATCAGCTTTAGTGATGCACTGGTGCATTTTTACACGCCTTTCAACACCTCACAAACTCACACATGGTTCCTGCACAGATTGCTAACACATGAGAGCAGACCTGCACCTCCACATGCATTGAAATTCCTGCACAAGCTGTATGGCACAGATGGAATACATTTGAGGTAACGTGTAAATAGTGTTTATAGTAGTTTTTTTGTATCGTGCATGTATAGCATATATGAACTTCACCACACAGCTCTATGCCAAGTGGATTAGTATTCCTGCTGTGACGGACATTCCAGTAGGAATCCTTTGAAACGGTCCTGATGTTTCTCTTTAGACAGTACCACTGAATCAATTGAGCCAATTCTCTGTTTAATCGTGCAGCGTTCAATGGTACCGTCACAACTAGCCTTACCGGTATTTGTTTGGTTCACTCAAACAGAGAGAATGCAGGACGGCTCAATCCGACCACCGACTTAAAGTAATTAGGTTCATAGTGCTTCTACTGACTCGAGGCTTTTCATTCCTTTAGAAATATTAAAATTGCGAAAGACAGGAGGCTGAGAAACGCCTTACAGCCATTGAGTGCCAGCCATTGTTCTGATCGTACCCACTGTCAGGTCATATTGACTGAAGCAGAATGATTACTGTCTAATTCTCTTGTAATTTCTTTTTTAATAAATACTTTAAAAAAAAGTTGTTTTTTGGGTTGTTTTTCAGGTCGATCCCCCTCCCAGCTATTATAGACATTCCTCTGCTGGCTTAGGTTGGTGCTGATGTGGAAAAAGACACGCACTTCTAACTTGGACTAAGATCAGGTTTTGATCACTAGTAAGAGGGCGGTGTGTGTTTGAGGACATGGGCTTCTTTGTGTTAATATGAAAGTATAATGCAGACACCTTCGCTGAAGCAACTCAGTCTGCAAATGCTTCTCATCTGAAGAGAACCAGCAGCTGCCTTAAGGCATCAAATGTAGCTGGTGCACTTGGAGGAAAAACCTTGCTTATGGTAGAATTATGTAAGCCAGCAGTGATGTATACGGTGCTTTAAAGAAACAGTTTAGTAAAAATTTACATAGTAAAAATTTACATTTACATAGTTTTTTCCCCCTTATTGCAAATGTAGTGAGTAGGCCAAGACGTGTGTGGCTACTGAAGCTACAAGGCTAATGTAGTTGATAACTAATGGGAACTACTGGTTATCATTGTGCAAACTGCATGCATACATTTCCATGTGATTTCTGACACTGAATGACCTGCTGTTATGTATAAAATTGGACAAAAGTACAGTGTAGTTAAAAAATAGTTGCATCCATATTGAAGCCTGATTTTGTTCATACTTCAGTTAATTTTGTAGACAACAGTGTCATATAATGTCTGAAACCACAAAGACAAGTCCATCTGATATCACCTAATAACTGTGATTTGAGACAAGTGTGATAATTTATGTTTTATGTAGTTTGCATGATGCCAGTTGGTGAGGTGTAAATTTCCATTACTTGTTAGCTTCACTACCATTGAAAAGTTTGGAATCATTTGTTAATTTTTAATAATTGTTATTGAATAATAACATGCAGTATATATTGACATGGTATAGACAGCAAAATGTAAACTGATGGTTGGTTCACAGTTTAAGGTACTTAAATAAGAATACAGCATGATACACAAAATTAGTAAATACTATTAAATAATAAACTGTAATAATATATTTATTATCATTTATTAATGAAAAGCTATTTTTGGGCAGTGAGATTTGCTCACCGCTTTTCGAATATGAGACCTTCTACAGCTCTTAACTTTTAACATCTCTTAAGTTTTACAGCTTCCTACAAATTGTTTGAAACAATTGTTTCAAAATATTAGCATCACGTGAGAATTGCTTTGTTCACATATTTGCACCAAAATTGTTTATGTATTTTTAAAAACAGTGATTCACAAGCTTGTGAACCATAGTGTACATTAGCCTCGGAGTGTCAGTGCAAAACTAAAGGAGCAAACACTGGACACTAAACATGCGAAAACGAGTAAAAATGAATGATGGTTTGACAGCATGACTGAACTATGCTAATTACTTCAGAATGTTTTGTTAGTCATATCCAAAAGCTGTGATGACTTGGATTCAAATCTGTCATTTATGTGACAAACCGGCGTCCTGAAATGACCCTCATGCGCAGATCCTACTCAGTAACGTCACGTGAATGAATCACTGCATCATCAGCACAAACTAACGAGCAGAAAGAGCTTCACTGAGAAGATAATTAACTCTGATCGGCTCTCAGCTTCATTATTAGAGCGAGACGAAGGAGAAAAAGGTGAGATGAGCTGCTTTAACTTCTGTTCGGCGCTGCTGCCATGGGAACGCTGAATGAGTGGGAGAAAAAGCACATTCTGATCTGAACGTTCACATTAAGGTCGGATGGCCACGAATCAGATATAAATCTGATCTAGGACCACATATGCAAGTGGCTCAGGTCAGATTTGAAAAGATCAGATTTGTGTCCACACAGCCCTGAAAACATCAGATCTGAGTCACATTAGGGCAAAAAATCAGATGTGTGCCACTTCAGCCTGGTAATGTGAACATAGCCGTAATGGCCTTGTATATCCCAAAGGAGGGTATAGGTATGGTCAGTTTACTTCGTAGATCAGTGGTGACCAGTCCTGGAGATCTACCACACATAGAGAATACTGCCTCAACCCTAATCTATCACACCTGAAGGCCTCCAGGGTGATGGGTCTGAACTCTCCAGGGTGGTAGATCTCCAGGACCAGGATCAGGCACCCCATTCTATAGGTTCACCTCAGGAAGAGTTCATCCCTGTGCCTTGAGGATTCCTAAACAGCAACTGTCTCTGACCATCTTTCACGCTGCATCTTATGTGAGACGTCTGCATAACTTCAGGAAACAGTGGAAGTCTGGCACTGACATGCAAAAAAGCAGAAAATCAATCTTTAATGGTGATTCAGTAATTCTCAGTGAAACGTTGCTCACCGAGAACAACAGGAAAACGCCCAGCGGCCTTCCCAGGTTCGCAATGGACGACATGTTTAAACATCAGTCGGAGGCCCTTTTACATAAGAGTTTATGGTGTAATCAGGGCTTAACTGTGCTAATTATTTTGCTCAGGTTTTGCTGTCCGCAGAGCAAGAGGTCTGGCTTCCAGCAGGCCGTACGCGCTCCAGTAGAGCACAGATGTCTTTGACATCCTGGAAACAACATACAGTCGGTTCTGTAAGTATTTGGACAGTGATTTTGCCTCTGCACCACCACAGTGGATTTGAAACGAAGCAGTCGAGATTTAATTTTTAATTTAAATTTATTTTAATTCAGGGGGTTTATCAAACATTTTCATTAACCACCAGTTTTTACATAGTCTCTCCATTTTCCATTTTTAAAAGTAATTAGAGAAACCAACATAATTAGAAATACAAGGATTATTTTTAACACTTGGATGCAAATTCAAGTCTGGAACCCATGGACATCACCAAATGCTGAGTTTCCTCCCTTTGAGATGTTTGGCCATTAAAAAACATTCCGTTTCTTTGCCTGAAGAGGGTCATAGGTTGCTTTCGTGGAGTGTTTTGGGTCATTATCCATCTGTACAGTGCAGCGCTGTCCTAGCAGCATCTGAGCAGAACGTATAGCTGTGAGCACTTCAGAATTCATCCTGCTACTTCTATCAACAGTCACATCAATAAACACCAGTGACACAGTTCCACTGGCAGCCATAGCTGCCCATGCCACGACACTACCTCCACCATGTTTCACAGATGATGTGGTATGCTTCGGCTCCTTCTCCATTCCTCTCTCTTCCCATCATTCTGGTACAAGTTAACCCCTTAAATAAAACCTTAAAGAGGTTTGCATCTTGAAGTAAATCCTCTGTATTTACATTCATGAAGGCGTCTCCTGATTGTAGACCCTCCTCTAGAAAGTCCTTGATTGACTAGATGTTGTGAAGGGGCGTTTTCTTTCATGGAAAGAATTCTGCCAACATCCACTTTAGTTGTCTTCTGTGGTCTTCCAGGCCTTTTGGTGTAGCTGAGCTTGCCAGTGCATTCCTTCTAAAGTTTCTGCTATCTCTCTGATAGGTTTGATGCCCCCCTTCACTTGCATCAACTCCGCATATTGAGAGTTCCCATGAAGAGCTCCCACATTCAAAATCTTCAACACTTGAAATCAACTACAGATATTTTATCTGCTTAATTTGTCATGAAATAACGAGGTAACCAGCCACACTTGGCCATGAAACTGCCAACTGTCCAATTACATTTGGACAAATGGCTGTTAATGCAATATGTTTGTTAAACCCCTTGAATTAAAGCTGAAAGTCTACACTTCAGTTACATCTTGACGGTTTCATATCAAATCCATTATGGTGGTGCAAAAAGGCAAAATTACCAAAATTACACCACTGTCCAAATACTTATGGACCTGACTGTACGTCACACAGTGGTGGAAAAGGGGGAAAGTGCAGGCTACAGGATGCACCTGTGTATGAATGGCGTAGTCTGAAATCAGTACCATTGCACTGCCATTGATGGCCTTTCTCAAAGATTTGCAACAAAAAGTCTGTCAGTGTACAAATCATTTTATTGCACTTTACAACACAAAAGCCACCATAAAATAAGAAAAAAAAAAGAAATCATTGCCCCAGCACTTTTTATCCTCTTTTAATTATTTTGTCTCTCCTTTTGTTCCCCTATTGTGCTCAATTTATTACCTTGTAACCTAGCATGTATAAAAAACTTCCTAAAATAAATGTCTAGAAACTAAACCAACGTTTATACATGCAAAGTGTTACAGAAGTGTAAACTGGATTAGGAGAAATATTAAATTTAGTATCTTCAAGGCATCTTCACTATTTCACATTAGATTCACTGCCTGAAAGACATTTTCACTTGCTAAGAAATGTACTGTTAACAATTAACTTTGCCAGAAAATATCACTAAAAGCATTTCTCTTTCCACACAGCCTGAGTCCAGATCTGACAGGTAGAGTTCCTGATGTCTTCTCCTCCGTAATCAGGGCCACTGGACATCAATCTGAGTCATAAGTCCCGTTCACTACATTTCACGTTTTACGACCCTTAAGTCTGTATTGGCCTCAGGCCAGGTCCAGAACGGGAAAAATGCACTGGCCTGTTTTTATTGAGGGCTTTAAATGTTTTTCAAGTCGAGGTTAAAACCGTGCTCACATTCATTTGCGTGTAGTGAGGTCAAAGTTGTAGAAACCCTGTTAAACCTAAAAGTATTTCCTCAAGCGGTAGATTTTAGCTCTTGAAATTTGTCTTAAATATGTAGTAACTTTAGAAGGTTAGAAGCGCTTTAAAACTCATTGCTGAGGTCAGATACAAGCTTAAAATAAAATGTAAAAAAGTAAAAAGGTCCATGAATCAGATAAATTGCAAAGTAGGAAAGATGTGAATGAGGCTCATGTTATGTGAAACAGCTCAGGTCAGTGGACACGTCGTGTTCAGCTGAGGCGAGCGCTTCACAGCGGCCTTACGCTGCGAATAAAAGAAAAAATAACTGCAAATTGGTAACATTTCTCATTTACACTCACTGGCCACTTTATTAGAAACACCCAATGTGTAGCTCCACTTTGCCGGGGTAGAGCTAGAGTCTGTAGCTCATCTGGTGATAGTTTGTGTTAGCCATCCTCTAGACCGCAGAAGGCCTGTGGGCCAAATCAGGCCTTTGGCACATTCCTATCTGGCCCTCGAAATTATTTTGATTAACTTGTTTCACAATCCGCTGCACTACAATCCCCAGCATGCACTGCAATGTAATGTGCGCTCCCACTACCCCAGCAACAATCTAAGGGATACCATTCATGTCACTAAACACACTAGCTGCTTTTCAGCTGTAGTTCTACTAATACTAACACAGCAGCTCAGAAACTGATCCTAAGTACGAATGAACTTCTAGCAAAGATGGCAGATGTCTAGATTAAGTACGTTGGGTAGGGTTAAACGACCTACCTCCTGGGGGCTTTAAAGAGGTTTAATAGGTATCTGCAGTTAATGTAGCTTAATTGTGCCAAATCTTTCAGGGGGCAATGATGGAGCCTTGTTGGCATAAACAAAGATTTCTCTTAAAGCTACAAAACTACAGTATTTGTGGGCAGCGATGTCCAGAAATGCACTGTAAATCCGTTCTTGAATAACATTATTTTGGCTCTACCATGACTGAACAATCACCTGTGGTCATCAACAGTAACAGCTTTGACACAGCAAGTCGAGAAATCTAGCTAGTTGTGTTCCGATTAACCCCTCAAATGGCCAGGGCCTGCTTTTATTACACACTTCTATAACCTAAGAGTAGCTCAGCCAGTTTGCACTGAAGTCCCTGTTGTTACAGAATAATAAGCCTTAGTGTGTAATAAGCCTGGGATTTTAAGGGGTTAAACAAATGAATGTAGGCATAGCCTAGTAGTACTAACTACAGTAACAATGCACATCACATAGTTACCCACTAGATGGCACTAGATTTTTAGCTGCCCCAGTTATCCCTACACCTGGGGCATGTTCAATCTCAAAACGCTGCGCAATGTTTTGCTTCGGTTTCCGAGTCGAACTAAAAATACAGTCCTCTACAAATGCAGCTGATGCAGCTTGGTGAATGCGACAATTCAAGATGTTAGAAGACGTATTTTGGAGTATTTAACACATATTTAAACTCATTTCAGCAGCCAAGAAAATGACGCCAAGAATGGCCCTCTTAGCTGCTTACATAACACAACAGAATGTTCAACCCACCACAGTTTCTGTTTAACCCTCTACTGCATGCATTAGAGGGCAATTTAAAAAACAAAATAATCAATTCACTTTTCTTGCATAATATGGACCTGATTATTAAATATATTTTTTTAAATAACAACGTGTGTAGTGGTCCGTCTGGTGTTTGTTGCCTTGAGGCAACATTGTGCGGCAATGGGATGAAATGATATAGATCCTCGTTCCCTGAAGCGGTAAGATCTAACTTGTGACTCGCTAAATCCATCCCACTGTTGCACAATGTAGCTTCTAGGCAGCAAACATATTTCTGCAAATTTGAATAACTAAATTATATTAAATGTTTAAAAAAATGTTTAAAAGTGACCACTAAGAGACAGTATGACTAGATACATGCTTTTTATTGACTTACTTGAACTCTGCCCTTTATTGTCAACCCTATGTTGTTGTTAAATATGTATAATGTTATTGTAAAGTGAGAACAATGTTTGTTGCCCTGAGGCAACATCGTGTAATAGAAGGCTAAATAAATGTTTGGCAGGGCTGAGCGTAGCTCAGGTTACATATGATGAAAGCATGTTAGTGCCAGCCCTCCTGGAACCCATTCTTGGCTGGATATTTTTGGGTGGTGGACCACTCCCAACCTAGCAGTGACACTGAAACAGTAGGTGAATGGTAAGGTGTCCCACTACAATGTCAGTGTCACTGCAGTGTTAGAATGGTCCATCACCCTACTAGCTGTCCTGCGGTCAGAAACTGGGTGATGAGGGTGACTGATGTATTGCTCATAATAACAGTTGGGCTGCAGCTAATTCTGCATGCAAGTAGTGGTGCAGTAGGGTTGGTGGAGCTCATAAAGGGACCGATGAGTGGAAGTACAAGGTAGGGTTTCTGATAAAGTGGACAGTGAGTGCACTGCATTCACACATATACATATACAAACACACAAACGGCTGTAAACCTGGAGGGTAATAAGGATACTAACCACACTGTATGGGCAACTCCAGAGGAACGTAGTTTCTATGGCACAAGTGAACGTAGGCTAAAGCCAGCCTGCAGAGAGTAGTTCTGGACGCATCTACAGAGTCACAATGTCTTCGTTCACAAACTGTAAGGAACTGCTCAGGGTCTATCTGAGAATGAGAGAAAGGACATGATGACATCACTAAATAACAGAAAACACCACAGACTGTCAACTAAGGGTTATTAACATAGCATTTTTTATGTCCCTTATTCTTCCAAAACATAATTTAATAAATACATGACATTTATTGAATTATTCAACAATACCTCTTTAATGTAAAACAATTTTCAGTGAATCCATATACAATTCATTTTCAGGGTTGTTTTTTTTTTGCCTCCAAAAGTCTAAAAATGTCAGGTGGTGCAACCGTCCCAGCCATATATGCTGATTAAGTAAACTATGAAAAAAAGGTAACGTAGTCATATAAAATCCTAAATAAACAGTTTGACATGATTTTATGTTTGAAAACTTTAAAAATAAAAACCATGTTGTAAAACTTCTGAAGTACTGAAAAACCTTAAATTTCTCAACTATCTCAAATGTCAAGAAAAACCAAAGGACTTTTATTTTGACATGCTTTTACATGCTTTGACATGTCCAAGGGATCCTTATGATGCAATGCCAAGGTCAAATTTTGGATGAAATATCAGTTTATGTCAGGTGGTCTGACCTCTTAAAAAACATGAAAATGTGTAATGGTTATTAATAATGTTTATTTATTTGAAAAAAAAAATTAAGTATAAACTCAAGCTCAAGAACCAAGGTTTGTAAGGATGTCTAAGTAATTTCACTTGAAATTAGTATGAAAAGTCAGGTGGCACAACCGGTAAATGTCAAATGGTGCAACCAGACCAGCAGTTTTAATAACTGAAATAGGCACTTAAAACCATTGATAACACTCACTATTTTAAGATCTAGATATATGCAAATTTTTAAAACTTTGTTACTGACCCTTAAATGACTGTATTACTAATCATATACTGATATTCAGTTTATTTGAAACCTCCATCTTGCTGTACAATTGTCTCTCCATCCCTATGCGTTCAGGGCTGGGATAGAACCAAAATGGTGACCACCTGAAGAGCCCTTGGGCCTGGTTTGAGAATCATTGCTCTAGCTCTCATCAGGGGTCAGTTTCTGACCACAGAGCTGCTCTTGGCTGCATAGTTTTGGGTGGTGGATGACGGAAAACTTCAGCCACACCGCTGTGCCTGATACCATCACATGCATTACAATGTCAGTGTCGCTGCTGCACTGAGAACGATCTACCACCCAGATAACGCTGCTCAACAGCGGTCCTTTGGTCTGAAACTGACCAGTGATGAATGGGGTATAATAAGGGGGGTGATAAACTGTGCAGCAACAGATGGGTTACAGTCTGTAACTGTACACTTACATAGTGACCTATAAGTTAGGTGGATTTCATAAAGTGGCCAGTGAATAGAAGCACAAAGTAATTGTTTCTGATGAAGTAGGTCAGATGTTAAGTGTACACTGTATATTCTAAGACTGTCCACTCTCAGCACTGCAGTGATACTGACATGGTGGCGTGTGTTGCACTGGTCTGAGTGGATCAGACACAGCAGTGCTGCTGGAGTTTTAAACACCTCAGTGTCACTGCTGGACTGAGAATAGTCCACCAACCAAAAATATCCAGCCAACAGCGTCCTGTGGGCAGCGTCCTGTGACCACTGATGAAGGACTAGAGGATGACCAACACAAACTGTGCATCAACAGTCGAGCTACTGACTTTACATCTACAAGGTGGACTGACAATGTAGGAGTGTCTAATAGAGTGGACAGTGAGTGGACACAATGTTAAAATCTCCAGCAGCACTGCTGTCTCTGATCCACATGTACCAGCACAACACAGCAGTCCTGTGGTGGTCCTGTGGGGGTCCTGACCATTGAAGAGCAGGGTAACAAAGAAACAGATGGACTACGGTCTGTAATTGTAGAACCACAAAGTGTTCCTATACAGTACGAGGAGCTGATCAAATGGACAATGAGTGTAGAAACAAGGTAGGTGTGGCACTTGGATCAAATGCCATTTAACAGCTAGCAGGAGAGGCTGATAGTTACCACTCTGAAACAGGGGCTGAGGGGAGAAGTGACGGAGGAGAAGAGGAGTGTGCAGGATGGAACCACTGTGGTCCATTTCTGGCAGGTCCCAGATCTGGTACCGTTGCAGCTGGAACTGGCCTAGAGCAACACACACAGCCATGACCTAAGCATGTGTTGTTATGCATACCTTACATGCAGGCAACTACTGGGCAGATGACTCCTACACTAAAGCCTCCTGCCCTTATACCTGAGTATATCTCACAAATCAAGCGCTCAAGCTTTGGTTTGACCAAAAATCAAATGAACGGTTTCCTCCCTGGGCTACATGAGGCGGCTAGCCAAGCCATGTTTGGTGGTTCCTAATAAAAGTTTCCTTCTTTATTCTTTCACTTCTTTAGATATGAGGCTAATGTCGTTTGCACAAGGCTAAATGGTGGCTATAGCCTTCTTTTACTACTACATTAGCTCTACATAAGCCTGGTAGCGCCGGTGCAAAACTAAACAAGAAGACTTTGGACACTAAGCACACCTCGGCTGATCAAGTAAATCCAGGGTGTGGGAAAAACTGTAAATCTCACTTCTGGCTTAAATTATCCATCTTACCGAGAAAAGCTGCTTTGTGAAATACCCTGTGGTATTCTGTTTTAAACACAAAAAATAAACTCTCTGCATGATAGCACTTTAAACTGTTTAGTTGCATTAGATTAAACAATGTCCAAAATTAGACACTGAAAAACATGCCTATAATGGAACAGTGGACCGAGATTGATTGTGTCAGCAATAGAAACATGACTCACGGCTTGTAATCGCCTCTTGTAATCACCACAAAGTGGAAGTGGAATGCCATATGGCCACTCTTTCTGGCTGCCCTTCAGTCTCATGTGCTAAACATCTGTGGTGTTCTTTAAAGGGGCTCTTACCTGCCAGTCGTCAGTGAATTCAGCCAAGCTCTGGGCCTGGGAGCCGTCCGGCAAAGGATACTCATTCCCGGCCTCGTTGTCATTGGTGCCAAGAAGTCCGCTGGCTGTCCCTAATGGCACCAAGATAAAAGAATGAGCTAGACGACGATGTGTAACTGAACTTAAGAGGTTTGTCAACAAGTGCAACAAGCAAAAGGCACCCTACGACAGCCGGAAAGACTGGCTGACCTGGATCAAAATGAACGTGATGGTATAACATACGTGTCAGGCTCCAGTCCTCGCGGGCCAAAACACTGCAGACTTCAACATGTTGCCTCAATAAACACATCTGATTCAGCTTATCAGCTCATTAGCAAGGCCTTCATGAAGTGAATTCAGAGCGGTAGATGAGGGTAAACGCTAATCTCCGCAGCACTTTGGCCTGGAAGTTCCCCAGTTTGACATGCCTGGTACAGCATCGTATAGCACGTTGAATAAAACAGGGCAGCCAGTCACCACAGCTGTGAGCTTTTTTCCATAGGGAACCATGTTTCGTTTGTCTTCTTGTCCCCCAAACCAACCATTATGGTTTGGCTATTTTATGCCATCAATAAAACACTTACCAGTCACTATATAAAGCAGTCAAAGTAATATCTGGTCAAGAGTGGTTCGGAGGTCAGAACCTGACCAATCATGAACGAGACAGAGGACGGTTGACAAACTGTGCATGCTACCAGATGACGGTTCCACGCATATTGCCTAGGGTGGCAACCTGTAAGGGGTGGTACTGGCATATTTCTTCACAGAAGCTCCTCAGACTGTGCAGGTTATGTGTGTACCCACTATCCTCCTCCATTAAATTACGTTTACTGGCTGCTGTCAGATGCCACATTCCCAATCCCCTACATCGCTATGATTGCTTCAAATTTTCCTCAATCATTATGTTGCACTCTGGAATACCCATAGTAGGGACAATCACCAAGAAAGCTGGATTGTGGATGGGATGGGGCAGCAAGTGAAATTGCACATAAGGCGCTAAAAAAGGTCAGGCAGCCACTAAGCCAGGCAGGTCAAACCCGGTTACCTTCCGGGCCAAAGTTCTGCAGATATTAGCATCTACCCTCATATAATGCTCTGAATTCAGTTCATGAAGGCTTAGCTAATTAGCTGACGAGCTGAATCAGGTGTTCTTAATGAGGTGCTGAAGTCTGCAGTGTTTTGTCCTGTGAGGACTGGAGCCTGACACACGTGCACTAGGCTACAGTCTAGGGTTAGGGTTAGGGTAATTGTCTATAACTCTACACCTATATAGTATAACCTTCTAGGCGCCCGTGCATTAAATTTTCTCAATGTTTCTATATATGTTTGTCTATCTTTGTGATAATGCAAGAAAACATTTCCTGAATCTGTACAGTCACTCTTTCCATTCCATCTCATCACGAGATCGTATGTGACTCATATCTGGGGTTATGAGCCTGTGAAGAGGGGCTGAGATACACATCATCTGTGTTTCACTGTTATAACTAATACATTTTGTGTGTCCGTCTACATTTTTGTGTAAAACTGACCAATGAACGCTCAGGAAATCACTAAGGACTGACCCATCATTCCAGAAATCCTTCATTCTTCATAAAGTCCACATCGGAGACACATGTGAAATAGTGTGTAAAGAGTTTACAGCCGCTGAAGTTGCTGCAGCAGTTTTGGAAAGTCACGAAGAAGATATTGGAGCATTTTGATATGAAACACATGAGTATCATGTTAAGTGTAAGTGCCTTTAAAGGCGAAATTGGCAGGATATACAAACATCGATATGCTCTTAGACCCCAGAGGGCTAATAAAGCAGATGGTACACATCATAATTGATGAGAAAAAGGTTTATTTAATATTCCATACTCATCTAATATTCTGTATATTATTCTATGTAGTTGCTTTTGATTGAGATTTGATATGGTAAAAAGTAAGAATCAACTAATTCGCTAACTGTCCAGAGGAACATCAACAAGTAGCCATCTCACCATGTAGCCAGCCATCCAGAGTTACACTGCACACGTTCAGATAGGGGTCACATGACACCGACAGTCCTCTTCTGTTGGACACCGTTAGTAGATTCAGCTCCCTCATTATGGCCACATCAGGGTTAGTGAAGGGTGGGTGTATGTTGCGGCAGTCAACCTCCACCTGATAACAGAAGATTAAAGTCCAGTTTATTCAAAACAGCTACTTTATACTTCTAGTCACTGTCCACTTTAGCTCCACCTACCTTACAGGTTCACTATATAGGTGTACAATTACAGACTGTAGCCCATATGTGATGACCAGGTATTATTCATGTGGTGGACCATTCTCAGCAGTGACACTGACTCTGTGGTCAGAAACTGACCTTTGTTGAAGGCCCAGAGTATGGCTAATACAATATATCAACAGATACAGTCCCTAACTGAACACTAGCAAGGTGGAGCTACAAGGGAGGGGTTCCTAATAAAGTGACAGATGAGTGGACATTTATTACACAGAATAAAGTGGGTGGATTTATTTTGCACACATACCTGTTCATTAGGATGGATTATTACAGTGGTGTTTTTCAGCTGCACCACTAGAGAGCGCTGTTTTGGCCGGCTAGCTTTGAGAGTGATGGTGAAGGTGTTACTTTGGACATCAGCTGCCAAGATAAGATCGCAGGAAGCTGGGAGCTCCAACAGGTGTCCATCAAACGATACTGCAAATTCATCTGCTACCAGAAATGCTTGATCTAGACAGGGGGGAGATATATCAGGGAAAGTGGTCTAAAATAAAGAATTCACAAACACAAACAAAACACAAAACGAGTGCAAAAGAATGGACTTAAAAACAGTGAGTGACCAGATTAACCATGCAGGGTTCAAGTTTCATCATTTCAATCCAGTTTCCAATTAATCTGTTTAAGAATGGCCCTTTTTACAATAGACATTGTCCCAAAACTGCTTTCCAGAAACATGGATCCAGCCTCTAATAAGCAAGTTGAAGGCGATACTGCAGAGGTCAGCAACCCAAATGTTAAAAGAGCCATTTTGTCCTTTCAACAAAAATCAAACCACCTTGGGAGCCACTTTATGTCCATTTTACCACCTTTGCTGAAAGTATGTCTCAGTAAGTGCTGATGTACTAGTACAGGCTAAAAATAATGCTTTTCTCGCATCTCCGGCAGGAAACTTTTCCTCAAAAGTAGAACGGTTTCTTGTAAAATGTCCCTCAGTGTTTGATTTTTACGAGGCTGAAGTCGCTTCTCATTCGCCAGCTTTTTTTGTATATTCCTGTTCCACCTTAATTGGTGCCTGAGGCACCAGAATGTATCTGCGGCACCATTTAAGGTGGAACGGAAAAAATTTGAACAGGAAGCTGGCGAATGAGCAGCTGACTTGAGCTCTGTGACGTTTTAGTGTTTGACAGTTTCTCATTGCAGATCTTTCTCTTTGCCTTTTCGTTAGATACTAGCTTGGCATGTTGTCTGCATTGCTATAGTGACCAGCAGTCTGCGCAGGTTAAAGTGTGAATTAGCAGTTCTACATTAACTCCAGAGTTTAAGACCATTGAGTGTTAAAACTGTGTTGAACGATCAGCAGAGCCTTTTTTTACTGCAAAGCAGGATTATTTTATTTTTACCTACAAAGCTAATTCCGCTGTGGAGCCACAACAGGGCAGTGAAAGAGCCGCATGTTGCTGACCCCTCGAGAACCATCAAGAGGAACGAAGATTCAAAAGTAGAAACTCCCTAATCCTGAAAAACAGCCAGATTGATACTGAAGACTTTTCCTCCTATGGTCCGCAGTGCAGTCAGGATACTGATAGGACAGTTTACATCCTAAAGACACGCCTGGTTAAAAGTCCTCTATCATAGGCTGATCATTAAAATCCCTGAGGAATTTAGATGAAGCTTGTTCGTTGCAGCAGCAGTGAGAACAGCACAAGTGGTTAGAGAGACATCCAGAGACTCACGGTTGAATGGACTGTCCATCAACCTCCTCTTGATCCTGTAGAGCTCAGCAGTGAGGCTGGCTGAGTTCAGTGCTAAGAGGGGCTTCAGGAGGAACTCCTCCAGTAGAACCTCCACCACCCCGGACACTGAGCCCTTTGGCCAGGGAGTCTGTGGCAGAGGTAGTCTCAGTCTCACTTCCTCGCTACTGCAGAGACACACAGCCGATTAGGACATCAAAAGTTTATACACTGTTCCAGTAAGTATGAGTACAGTAAAATTGATATATTTTACTTACGTCATCTATAATAACTTTTTAATTAACTTGTATGAACTTTTGTGAATCTATATGAAGAATGAACATTTCTCATTTTTTACTTTGGGAGGCTTAGTTGTCATATAACCCCACCTTGTGGAGGCTGCACTTGAGCCTGGATAACTCTAATAACCGCAAATATGTATTTATATTTATTAGTAATTTACTAATAATTAATAATTTATCATTATTCAGACCCGAGGTGCCAAACTTTGTTCCTTCAGGGCCAAAGCCTTGCAGAGATTCGTGTTTTCCCTTGTCTAGCGCTCTGACTTCAGCTCATAATGACCTTGCTAGACTCTGCAGAGCTGTGTCCCAGAAGGAACCCAGTCTGACACCCCTGATTTAGAATGTCATTGCAATTCATTGATGAAGTCTTTTCTTTAGCGCCTAAACCTTTTAGTTTGCTAAAGTAGCCTCTGTCCTTCTGATTACCACTGTTTGAGTAATGCTCATTTTTGTTAGGGCCCCAGTGGGGTTTGTAAAGCAGGGGGCTCCCCTAACAAGCATGCACATGAACATTTTATAGTGCCCTTCTCTGAACAGCAGGAGGGTGAGGTAGAGGAGACAGGGCTGCTGTCCATGTGAGGAGTGTTAGCACTTTCACTCAGTGAAAAGAAAAGACATTTGTGTTAAAAGCAATACCAGAGTGGGTAATCGGGAGAGTCGGGAGGTGGGCCGGTAGCATGTTGAGCCGGTTACTGTAAGCTAATGAAGTTTCATGCTTATATGGTCCTTTGCATGGTAAGACAGTTCTTCAGATTGATCAGTGTGTTGTATGTGGTTCTGTATAGAACCTTTTTTAAAACGTTTCATGTACACTACCGCTCAAAAGTTTGGGGTCACTTGTGATAATAATAATAATTGTTATTCAGTAATAACTCATGCAGTGAAGACTGAAATGTTATAAAATAGAAACCGATGCTTTATTCACAGTTTACAGTATTTTGGGAACAATATAAGGATAGGACATGGTAAAAAATATGGAAGTGTTATTAAATAACAAGCTATAATTTTCTGTTGAATTTGTTGTCAAATATACAAAAATACTACGAATAAATGCTTAATTAGCGAGATTTGGTTGTATGAGGCACTGTGGAGGTCAGTTTCTTTATAAGTTCATTCACAATGCTGTACAGATTCCACTTACAGCTCCATTTATCATTGTAAACGTCTTCATTTTTGCAGGTTCCTACAAACTGTTTACATTATTTTAATTCATTTTATACACAAATCTTCAAAGAAATCGGTTTTGCATGAATGAAATCAATGGCCCCAATCTTTTAAGTGGTAGTGTAGCACCAAAAAGGGTTCCTCTATCTTTACCAGCTTGACTTTGTAAGAATATAAGAACTCTTGTTGGTGCAATTTAGAACATATACAACACATTCTCCATAAATCTGAAGAACTATTCACCATGCAAAAAACAACTTAAGCATGAAATGGTTCTATATAGAACTCATAGTTCTAAACAGCACCATTGCCCTTATGTAAGAACCCTTGAAGAGCCTTCTTTTTTGTAAGAGTGCACATTTGAGATTATGATTAAAGCTATTTTTCATTCCTTTACTACATTCTGCTTAGACTTTATCGAGCAGTTTAAGCTCTTACACAACTGACACGAGCCACTTTAGTCCAGATTTGCAACCCACCTTTTGGAGAACTTGTACATGTAGGCTAGCTGCCTCCGGATCCCCACTAGCGCTGCAGCCAACCTGGCCTCGGCCCAGTGGACTGTCTGCTGGCTGACCTGGAGAACAGGGCACCATGTAGCTCTTTCACACCCCTCTGTTACTCTGACAGCTCAGTGAGAAGTCTAACTGGAGTTCTGATATGATATGAATTGTCTCTGTCTCACCAAGTCCAGTGCGGCGATCGTGGTGTGGACAGCGGTCAGGGACGGCACCCTCAGCTCGTGGTTGTGCAGGATGGCAGGCAGCAGCTCCTCCAACTCTCTGCGCCACAGCTCCAGACCCTGCTGCCACGCCGTGTCCAGACGCTCTCCCGTCACATCGTGGTAAGCTCCAGCCAGTGTGGCCAGCGGCTCTGTGGATAAAAGAATCCTGATAACTTCAACACAAGCGTAAACTCACAAATATGCGCATATTAATTCACAGAAAAATCTAATATCATCTATTGTTTAATTTAATAATTGAACGTCCTCAGATACACTGATATATTATTAATGCCAGTGTGTTATTTTTACCCCCATACTGTGGTAAAGGACAGGTATACACTACAAGACGAATGTATTTTTTTTCAGTTATATGATTCTAATAATAATTAATAATTCTGATAATAACAATAATGAATGATTTTTGATGATAATAACTGATAATAATTCTAAAGTTTTCATAATTCAATGTATTTAATTAATGTTAGATTTATCTCATTATTTCTTTAATAATGTATTTATTTATTTTAACTTGTTTATTTGTTATTTTAAATGATTTTTAATGTATTAATACTATTAATAATTTTAATAATTAATATTCTAACTGCTAATAATTAATACTTTTTAATAATTCAATATATTGTTTCCAGACTGTAATATGATGATTCATATCACAAATTCACAAAGTTTTATTGCAGGTCTAATCAGAGCTGCAATAAAATGGGAATGTTGGGGTGCTGAGGGGGCTGCAGACCCCAGATTTTGGAAAAGTACCACTGCAACTGCTAAAAAAAAATTAATAATTATCTCTATAATAATTATCTAGCACAGTAAACACCCCTGTGAATGATTTAGAGTGGAATGTGTATGTTTATGTTTTATTTATATATTTCCAAACACTGAATAAGGTGACTGAAAACAAGAAAACTGTTTTCTCGAGTTAACTTGATGACACTAGAGTTCACCTTCTTATCAACGTCTTGGTTTAATCAAAAGTTTTCCTAACTAATATTTTTCAATTTTGCATCTCAGTACAGAATCGTTAGGTAAACACTAATAAATGTATTTTTTTTACTCACATTCTGTACTAGCTCAGACTCTTTCCACCAGACCATCCAACCAGGCATTTTCTGTGCTTGGGCTCCCAGTTACAGATGGCTGTGGCAACACTGGGGTTCAAAGTCCCAACTACAGGTGGGGGTGAATAATTAGTCCGATGCATCACTTGAAAGCTACTGAAATTTCTCAGATTTCTCTGTTCTTTAATGTTTAAACATTGTAAAAAATACACTACTGCTCAAAAGTTTGGGGTCATTGATTTCATCCATATAAAACTAATTTCTTTGAAGATACATCTATAAAATGAAACTTCTTACAAGTTACAGGAAACCTGTGAAAAAATCCCTAAAAATCTCAAATTCATAGCGTTTATGTGAGAACAAATTTCAATAAACGGACAAGCTTATTATTTACTAACACTTTTTTACCATGTCTGAACTTTATGTTGTTCCTAAAATACTGTAAGCTGTGAATAAAGTATTTGTTGTTTGAACTTTGAAAAGTAGTGTGGTAACGTGTGGTGCAATCCAATCTGGTCCTGGAAATTATTTTGATTTTCTATTATTATTAGCCCATTTCCCATCCACAGCACTACAATCCCCAGCATGCACTGCAGCGTAATTTGCGCAGACACCCCACTCCCAACAACAATCTATGAGACAGCAATTTTCTACCTAATCGCGCATGTCATGTCACCAAACACACCAGCTGTGTTTCAGCAGCAGTTTAACCAGCACAATAAACACTCAGCAGCTCAGAAACTGCTTGAGAATGAATGAACTTGCAGAAAGAAAAGATGTTAGGTGTCGGGACCAGACACACAGGTAGGTTTGACAGACCTACATCATGGGGACATTTAAAGAGATTTAACAGTTATCTGTAGCTGATGTAGCCTAAATATATCAAGCATTCACATGTAACATTTGAAGATTTACTACAAGTGGCTATATTTTGCTGTTGATGTTTTGGTGTATTAAAATATAAACACTCTCCGGCCCTCAGATTTGTTGAGTTTGACTCCCCTGATCTACAGTAATGCCTTCCTAAAAGAGGATAGGTGGTATTGAAGCAAAGGGGGGACAAATTTGCTAATTATTTTGGAAAAAGTGCTGGATAAGCAGGTGTCTGGATACTTTTTGGAGTCTGTCAAGGGTAAGTCACCGATGAAAAGCCTTTTTAGTCCTGGATTAGCCCCATTAACTTCCATTCCTCATGCCTATAATTCAATAATAAGCATTATTATTACTAAACAATATGCCTTACAATGTGGATGTGTATGAAAGGGGTTCTTCTATGTGGACAACCTGACGTTTAAGGGGTTAAGCCTTTTCTAGGTCAGGGAAACTGACCCATAAACTCTCAAAATGATGTTCAAATTAACAGTAGACTTATTGTGTTATCATTACTTCAACACAAATTGTGTTTTAACACATTTTACTGAAAGAAGATGGAAAACCAGGCTTGGGACCGAGTGAATTAGATGTGCTGCTACCGGCTAAGTTCCATGGGCTCTACTCACTCCTGAGCTCCTGCTGGACCAGCTGAGACATGTGGTGTAAGAAGTGGAGTGTTTGCGGCAGGCTTTGGGTCAGCGTGTGGCGGAGAGATCCATTGGTCCAGACGCTCCATGGGACGGCCGCTCTCTGCAGCAGCAGCTTCTCGGCCCTCTGGGTCAGTCGCAGCGGCCAGTCACACAACTCGTGTAAGGCCACACTGCCTCCAGCCTGCACACATATCAGATACATGTCACATACTTCTTCTACGAGCCTCTTACCCATAGAAGTTACAGTTATCATCAGCAATAATAAACACTGCAATTTCATGTTAATATTTCTCACTTCACAGCTCACAAAAACGAGCGTAGAAATTCTGTCAAAGGTGAGGATTCAATCTGTTTACATGCAGAAGTGTTGAAACATAAGGTATTTTATTATGAATTTGAATTGAAAAAGTGATTGTTGTGTAGAAAAAAACACCAATTTGAGGAAACTTGGCCCATTCCTCCTTACAGAACTGCTTCAACTGTGTTACACTGTTGGGCTTTCTTGCATGACACCTTAGGTTCTGCCTCAACATTTCTATTGGATTAAGGTCTGGACTCATCATTCCAAAATGCAACATTTCATCTGCTTTAACCTTACTTTGTAGACTAACAGGTGTTTTTAGAGTCACTGTCTTTCTGAAGGACACACCTTCTGTTGAGCTTCAGTTCATGGATGGATGCCCCAATATCCACCTGAAAAATGTCTTGATACAATCCAGAATTGATAGCTTCATCAAAAGATGGCAAGCTGTCCTGGTCTAATAGCAGCAAACAGTCCCAAGCTGCGATCCTGCCACCACCATGTTTCAAAGTTGGGATAAAGCAGTTTGCATTACATTTGTGATATATTGACAGCCTAACTGTGAATTAAAAGCACACTAGGAAGTCCTAGGTAAGACATGCAGCAGAGCAGACAGGCGGACGTCTCGTGTTGTACTTGCTTTGGCCAACAGAGGGGGCTGCTGCTGCTATCTACTGACCACTTCTACCACTCACTCAGTTTTAGAGAATACTGCTGTGTAAAACTTGACCAGAGTCCACAACATCACCACAAATGTCTTTTCAAAACTAAAGGTAGGCCAGGGATTAAAAGCAGGGGGGGTTACGGGACTTGAATCATACCAGGTGATCATTTGTATGGGCAAACAATGCACTTCAATGCGGCTACCATGCCATCTACAAATAGTCCACCATTTTTCAAAACTGCGTCACTTTTCCAGCCATCCATATAAAACATATGGTAGGTGTTGAAAGCGGCCATCTCTGTCTCTGCAGAACTGGAGCTGCCCAGGGGTTGTTTGGGGTCTGGCCATCTTGGTAGGCTATTATATGATTTTCTGACATGGTTTACAAACGTACTTAGTTAGTACCCAATTTTATCAGTCGGCCTTTGTCATATTTTATTACAGTACAAAAGTTACCATGGACAAAATACATGAAACTGGAACTGCCCTTTATTGCATAGATAAAAACACTGGATATTTTAATGATATATTAACAGCCGAACTGGAGATTTCCCCAGGGACCTGGTCATTTGGGGGAACTTTTCAGCTATGCTCACTTCAGCATGGCATAGTCACATCCATGGGCTAACAGCTGCTTGGATAATGTTGATGAGTGGACCATCTTCAACACCTTAATGTTGGTGGATCAGTTTGTTCCCATTGTAATAAGTCCGCTCTCTCCTACATGTAGCACAAAATTCTCATGGTTGTCCGCAGACCTTTTCACTACAAGATCACATCTGGCCCCTCGAAACCACATTCAACCTAAGACTGACACTGATGTGTGTAAACTGACCAATAATGAATGGGGGGAGAGGGCAGCTGATAAACTGCAGCAACAGATTAGCTACAGTCTGTGATTGTACACCTATATGGTTGACCTATAAGGTAGTTGGAGCTCAGAAAGCAGAAAGTAAGTGGAAGTACAAGGTAGGACTTTCTAATATAATGGATGGTAAGAGTGTTTCTAAATGGACGGACTTTACTATGACCTTCACTCTTCACTATGACCTCTTCTACATTTCCGGTCAATGAATCTTTTTTTGTGCCGCCTTCTTTTTGTGCCGCCACATCTCACGCATATTTATGAATTTTTATATTAAAAAAGTGGGTTACAGTCATTATATAACCCATAAAAGCTTTCTAAACAGCCAGTAAATCTTGAAGACCACTGAATATAGTTTTCGTGCTTCCTCTGAACATTTCCCGCTAACCTGTCTCCTGAAGTCCAGCAGAAGATTATGCAGTCTTTGAACTCTGTCCAGCAGCTTCCTCTTCATGTGTGAGCCCAGCTGCTGGAGCCGTGCCTGCGAAGAAAGTGCTTTGGGTCAGAAATGAGAAAATGTGGCATTTATGGGGGAATATGGCAGATATATGGATGGTACGCTGCTCATCAAAAGTTTGGGAACACCAGGCCTTCCTGTTTTCTGAGTAGTGATTGATTTGCACTGTTAATTCTCAGTTATGGGAGAAAACATACCTGCTAAGTTCCACTAATGCAAAACAGCTGTTTGCTAATATATCGGCTATATTTTGGAACACTCGGCTTCATGTTTACCAAAGTGTCTTTCATGGTTTAGTCACAGCGTATGATCAGACGGTTACCTCACCACTGACTTTTCCAAAATACTGATTAAGATCCATTTCCTTCTGTTCCTGTGTACGAGTTACAGTTTCCTTAAACCGGTGGTCCTCTTTTTACCCCATTTTAGCCATAACCCCCTCCATCCTGACTCCCCCTGAAACACACTGGAGAAGATCTTTCTTCATATTATTGCACGCACAGGGGTCGTGAACTTCACAGTGCCAGTACATTAGCTCTGGAGTCCATGTCTGTTATGAATATATGCTGCATTGCTAGTTATTAATATCATACCCAGCGCAGGGATGTAGCCAGAACCTTTTTAATGGGGTGGCCAGGTTAGACCCTACTGTTAGTGTAGTTAGCTAATAATCCCGTAATGTCGATACACATAAAATTGGCAAAAAGAAGAGCTGAATGCTGCCCGACAGCCACTCTGCTGAGAGACTGTTTTAACTTATAATAACAACAAGTTATGATTGAAACATTATGACCACCTCCTTGTTTCCACGCTCATTGTCCATTTTATCAGCTCCACTTACTGTATAGGTGCACTTTGTAGTTCTACAGTTACAGACTGTAGTCCATCTGTTTCTCTGCATACTTTGTTAGCCCCCTTTTACCCTGTTCTTCAGTAGTCAGGACCCCCATGGACCCTCACAGAGCAGGTACTATTTGGGTGGTGGATCATTCTCAGCACTGCAGTGTGGTGGTGGTGTGTTAGTGTGTGTTGCGCTGGTACGAGTGGATCAGACACAGCAGTGCTGCTGGAGTTTTTAAACACCTCAGTGTCTCTGCTAGACTGAGAATAGTCCACCAACCAAAAATATCCAGCCAGCAGCGTCCTGTGGGCAGCGTCCTGTGACCACTGATGAAGGACTAGAGGATGACCAACACAAACTGTGCAGCAGCAGATGAGCTATCGTCTCTGACTTTACATCTACAAGGTGGACTGACAAGGTAGGCATGTTTAATAGAGTGGACAGTGAGTGGACACAGTGTTTAAAAACTCCAGCAGCACTGCTGTGTCTGATCCACTCAGACCAGCGCAACACACACTAACACACCACCACCACGTCAGTGTTAGTGCAGTGCTGAGAATGATCCACCAACCAAATAGTACCTGCTCTGTGAGGGTCCATGGGGGTCCTGACTACTGAAGAACAGGGTAAAAGGGGGCTAACAAAGTATGCAGAGAAACAGATGGACTACAGTCTGTAACTGTAGAACTACAAAGTGCACCTATATAGTAAGTGGAGCTGATAAAATGGACAATGAGTGTAGAAACAAGGAGGTGGTCAGAATGTTATGCCTGATCAGTGTATATTATCTAATTAGCTGTTTGTTTTTTTTTCCGCTCCCATCGCTGATTCCCTGAAGCTAACCCCATGAGAATCACCACCTCAGTGCTCTACAAATATCACAGAAAAACATGAACAAAATATAAATTCAGCTTTTTTTCATTTTTCATTTTCACCACCCACCTCATTCGGTGATACTGTGAAACAGTTCTTTTCCAACCTATCGTTAAAAGCCCAGATGTGGTTTAAACCCCTGAAAGGTTTGAGCACTTATGAGTCACAACAAGGTGATAAAACTTTGCATGGGTTAAGTTATTATTCCCTAAGTAGCATTTCTGTCAGATATTTCTTCACGTCTTGCAAAGGAAAATGGCAACATGTCAACTGCCCTCTGTGTAAACTGTGAATTATTGTTGGATAAAGTAAACGATCATTTGTAATTTAAAAAAAACTGGGAAATCTAGGTCTCTGAACTTTTGAGGAGCAGTGCTTCTACCTTCTTTTTCGCCTCACCTCTGTCGCCTGTAAGCACTCCTCACACCCTTTGGCCTGGAAGATAAGGCTGTGATTGGCTATCCCCATGGAGATGAGTGCTAGAGTCTCATTCTCAATGCCACTTCCTCCCCTTTGGGCCTTGAGGGTCAGCCAGCGCCGTCCATCCAAGCAGAGGGTTGTTCTGAGGTCGTCAGACGAATCTGAGAGAAGATGTGTAACGAAGCGTCATTTTATGGGCTCAACATTAGTCTTATATGTCTATAATTATTCAGGAGGAGCCACAGGTGAAAAGGATCTGACTTAAATACAGTAGCGGTCAAACATTCGGACACGGCTACTTACTGAATGGTCTTTAAATTATTTTTTCCCAGTTTTAAAATAATACATACTGTAGTAATAACACTCCAATCAGAAATACTGGCCTTCTGCCAAACAGAGCTATTTAGATCCACCCAAACAGCAACATAACTAATTGGCTCAATCACAAATAACATCAAACTACATTCCACCAATTCCACTTTTGACGAAGCACATCATTTAATGATTGTTGATCATATTTTTTAGGAATAAATTCATATGTAGGCATCAGCTCAACTATTTACAAATTACAAATTATTTATATATTTAAAGCACTTAGCATTTACATATGTCTTTAAGATTATGAGCATCATACAACATACATTTAACCAGGTTCCTCCAAACTTCTGACTCATCCTGTACATGAATACATTTTTCCTGGCAGGCAAAACAAAGAATTCCAGTGTAAACTGACCGCTATCGTGTCCAGCAGCAGCCTGTAAGCAGCGTTTGCCCAGTGCGGCCTGCAGCCAGAAGAGCTCAGTGCGGTCCAGTTTGGCCTGAACCTGTATTCCTGTGCTCCTGCCTGAGGAATGTCCACTGCCCCCCAGCTCAACGCTCCAGTTACCGACCTTCCACTGCAATACACACAGCACAGTGTATCAAAGCTCAAATATCTGTACTAAGACTGTATTTATAACTATTTCCATTTCCATCGCATCACTGGACCACACACAAACCAAAGGTGAGCTCTGGCCCAGTTTAACTCCTGATTATATCATGGTCATCAAGGTCACATTCCTCTGGATGTAAAACTCCAACCCACTAGTTTGAGTTTCTTTCAAACTAGAATTTGTGGTCACACTTTATTTGGATGGTCCACTGTAGGTGCTCATGTTGCCTTAAATATTCAATTAAAGGTGGAGTAGTTGATTTATTTTAGAAAGATTTTGTGTTATATTTCTTGAAATACAACATCGGTGTGGCCTTCCAATGGTGGCAAAACCTGAGGGAGTTGAAAGGCCTGGAAAGCAACACCAAAGTTGCTAATTTTCTGTTGGACTGGTAATTATCTGGTTTCTTATGTTTATAGAGGAATTTGTTATTTTCCTAAATTATGTAGCCAATGAAGCTAGCTACTTATTCAGCTACATTATGTATCAGTCCAACATATGCATTTTTACCCCTTCCCCTTGTTTTCAAGTGTCACCTTGCCCCTTGGAACTGAGTTACAAGGGTTAGTGGTGGAAATCTTCCCTATGAAATGGGTGGGGTAGGATTTTTTTTCATTTCCGGTTTCTACAAAATCACCTAGTCTAGCTTTTAATATCAGTTTATTTCAACATACCTTTTCTCTAACTCTACACTTAAAGCTATTTTTCTATGAAAAATCAGATTTACAAAGTTTTTTTCCTAACCTCAAATGTGGTCGATTAGCCAAGACATATTTGGTGCCTGCCTGTACAGTACTTATCTGCAATTCCATCCATTTCTACATGCAATCAAGGACTTCAGAAGGACTTTTCAGACATGTCTGGTGTCCAAAGTTCTGTCATTCTAATTATTCATCAAACTATTACTTTTTATTCCCTCTGATCATAACCTTGAAGTCAATCCAACTTGTAGATAAGCTATAAAGAACCATCCAAACGAAATGTAACCGAACTGGCTACTGCGCATGTTTGAGCACATATTTTTCCAACTAGTATGACCAGACTGAGCACTGATCATGCATTAACTGTATGGTTAAGTGTGGACCTCAGTGAGCAGGGAGTAGTTGCTGCGTTGGCTGCTGCTGGCGTTCCTGAGGGCCAGGACGAAGGTGCTGTGCTGCAGGGCCTGACCGGACACTGACAGACCGGTGCGGCTGTACAGCAGGTCCTTTCCTGAGTTTACACGGTGAGAGCCAGACCAAGACAGACCCTGTGAGGAGTACAGTAATTACTACAAAGCTGAAAAGGGCAGACAGTCGGTATAAACACAAGCTGTTCTCAACTCACGATGTGATTCAGGTGTAAAACAGGTGTAATTTATCACAAGGCTGGTAACACATGCTCTAAATTAGAATGACCTAAAACAAGTGTGATATATATATATTTTTTTTTTTTCCTGAAATGCTGTAAAGAGACAAATTGCAATAAAATACAGACCATTTCTCTAAAGCCCATGGGGAGGTGGGGTAATGTGAGTTTACAAGAGGATGTCTGTCATGGTTATGAGCGATTCACATGGGATAAGAAGTATTGGTGTAAATGACAGAGATAGGAGTGGCTATTGTATTTATGTGCCATTTTCACTCCAGAAAATAGTAGAAAAGTTCAAATACTAAGATTAAATAATTTTATTTATTTATTATAAAATTATTTTGTTTACCCTAACCATTTACCTTTCTTAAGTTAATGTAGCATCGCCATTAGCTTGTAAATTCACAGCCAGTCGATTTGCACAAGATTGATATAAGATTGATATAACCTGAGGCTCTTTTTATGGCTCGTTTTACAGAAGATAAAGGCGATGGAATCGCTACTGAATCGGGAGCGCAGTCTGTAAAAACGACTGACATGGCGCATTCAGATGGGACCAAAATCACAGAGAAACGCTGGTAATAATTACGTTACCCCACCGCCTCAGGTAAAACTAATCCCGTCCCAACAGGTCTTTACTCTGTAAATTCAGTGCCACCTTAAATGTAGTTACACCTTAAATTTATTGCCACCTTAAATTTAGTTTGATTTTTATTTTTACTTAAATGGAGTTCCACCTCAAATTCTGTGCCACCTTAAATTCTGTGCCAACTTGAATTCAGTGCCACCTTAAATGGAGTTCCACCTTAAATTTAGTGCTACCTTAAATGCAGTTCCACCTTAAATTCTGTGCCACCTTAAATGAAGTTCCACCTTCAATTCTGTGCCACCTTAAATTTAGTTCTACATTAAATGCAGTTCCACCTTAAATTCACTGCCACCTTAAATTTAGTGCAAACTTAAATGCAGTTCCATCTTAAATCCAATGGCACCCTAAATTTGGTGCTACCTTAAATTCACTTCCACCTTAAACTCAGTGCTACCTTAAATTCATTGCCACCTTAAATCTGTCTCAAGTTTGGAATCGTTTGGGAACTGTTTCGAGGAATTCGTCGATGGCTTAGGGAGGACCAACCTCAGTGGTCAGCTTAGTTAACATTAGTGTGGAAGAACAAGGCACAACAAGGCCGGGGGTTCTGGTAAAGTGGATGGGGAATGTAATTCAATAGTGACAGAGTTGTGCCTACTTACTGGTTGTGGAGGACACAGCCCCAGGAGGACATGATGCTCTAGAAAGTCTTTGAGGTTTGTGTGCATATGAGCCAGGAGGGTGTGAGATGGACAGGGACTGGGAGAGACATTCTGGACTCCCACCTCCACCTGGACAGTGTGCACTCCACTGGATCCTCTCTGTTCAAAGCAGCGAGAACACACAAAAAGGCTTGAGTCTGCACGTCACAGTAAACTTCCTCATATATAATGAATCTATCAGCTTAGGAACTGAAGTGTGTTGGGCCCTGTTCTTCCCTTTTTGGCGTCCTTTAGGTGAAAAATAAAATCATAAAGTGAAAGTTTTGAGCGATGGAAAAGTAGTCCAGGTGCTCAGTGAGAGAATTAGTAACTCTCATGTGTCACCATAACCTAATAGTCTAAATTACCTGGTATTTCAGGCTCTGCGTGATTTTCTTGTCGCTCCACTTGAGATCAGTGCTTTGTGAGTAGGAAGATTTTCCTTCTTGGGCCACTGAGATGCAGCCTCGAGCGTCCACCAGAGGGAGTACTGACCGCATCTGTAATTCAGAGTCACAAATCTGCAGTTCTAAACCCCTCAAACAGGCGTACTACTCGATTGTTGTTCCCAACAAGATCAATTATTTAGTAACTATTCTACATGATTTAGTGACAATTAAAATGAATTTGAAATTAATATGTAATGAAAAATCACGTGAAACCACATAAAGGCCCTTGCAGTTTGAAGGCGTTAAACAATTTCCATTCATTTCCACTGAAAGTCAATCTAGACTTATTTCAAAAGTTTGAGTCATCTCAGAAGCTCATTTAACTGTCACAAACACCTCTTATGCATGCCGAAAAACATTTTTACCTTTGTTTACATTGTACTTTAACAGCATCATGCAGTCATCAGTATAATATTGTGTGAGTGACAAACAGAACTGACCCACGATCCTCTGAAAAAACTATGTATTGCAATCTAAGCTGTAGTGTGAAAATGATGGCAAAACTGACCTCAGAACTGTGTACTTTTCCAGTATTCTAAGCATAACTAATGTACTGCGCAATAAGACTTATAACCAACAACATCGTTTCTACGTTTTGGGGTAAAATCGCTTTTATGTACCTGTCCAGGTGAGACATAGACACAGGCCTGGCCCCTGCTGGACTCAGCACTCCAATGCTTACTCACAGTCATAGATACATTCGCAGGGGTCCCATGATCCCAGGAGAGATGGATCTAGTGACAAAATTAGGGATGTAAAATTTAAATCAACCAAAATAAGCATTTTAACCCTTGGAAGAGACTGGACCTCTACTCTGACTTTTATTATGTTCCAATTCGCTAATGCTAATGTGCTAATGTAGTTCTAATGTTAGTGTAAAACAAAACAAATGTGTCTACAGATGCCATTTTCAATTCAAAATTAATAAATAATAGGCTCCATTGCTGGTGTTGACTACAATGTGTTTAATAAAGTTGGGTATGACTGTTTGTTTCAATGTATGAACACTCCCCTCTCTGCCTGGCTTGTTATTGATTACAGTTAAGAAACACAGACCATAAGTTGTCAAACTAGCTGGCAAAAATATGGTGGAGTGACTGCAGAAATGCTGTTCATGCAAATCTGAAAACATATTAAATTCATTAGTTTGTTTCAAGAATTCTTGTTAATGTCGATGCAGCCTACTGCACTGTTAATTTACTGTCACGGGTAACCAGACCATAGAAATTGTGGTGCCGGTCAAGATGTCCAGAAATGATTCAGTTTGCTAACAAACAGTCAATGTCAGAGGTACACAAAACAATACCTGGTTAAGCCATAGGCACATTGGAAACAAGAGCTGTAGACTGATGAAGTAAATATTTAACTTGGTCACAATCACTAAAGGTATGGGAGCAGCAGAAAGAATGGATTCCACTAAATATCAGCAAATTTTGGAAGCAAATGTGGCATAGTCAGTCAAGAAAGAGAATCTGAAAAGAGAAAAATAAGCTGGCTTCTACAACTAGACAATAGTCCTGAAAGTAACTCCAAATCCACCACGAACTTCTTTGAGAAATGCAAGCTTTTGGAATGGCCCTCACTGAACCCTGACTTGAGCATCACTGGAAATTGGTCGGGCAGATCTTAAACATGCTGTGCATGCAAGATGGCAAGGAAGAGTGGGTGAAACGTCCAAAAACAGGAACAGGAAGACCCATAACTGGCTACAAAAAGCAGTTGCAAACTGTAACATCTGCCCAAAGGGGTGTTACTAAGCTGGGTGTCCAAATGCTTATATATACCACAAGTACTATTTCATTATTTTTTCTCTTTATTAACCGAATTTTAAAAAAGTACTGCAAGAAAAACTGCAAAAAAGTATTTCTTTACATTTAAAAAATCAACAAAATATCTAATATAGCTGGGGGTGTTCAAGTGTTTGTATGCCACTGTATAATTGTTTTGATATCTTGGTAAATAAAGGTTATACTATGACCATTATACATATGACCATATGAAGCATTAAAGAAAGAAAACAGAAACTGAACCTTGACTCACATTTAAACCAAAAGGTTAATCAATTCTATTTTTTTAGCCACTAACTCCTAGTCTATATATATGAATGAGTTGTAGTTCTGAGAACTCAGCAGGATGTGTGTGGGAGTGTTTTGGAGGTAGGGTGTGTGTGTGTGTGTGTGTGTGTGTGTGTGTGTGTGTGTGTGTGTGTACCTGATTGTTGCTGCCATGTCCGTGATCCAGGCTATGTGACAGTGTGCGCAGGTGTAGGTGGGACAGAGTTGATGTGAAGGATTGTTGGAGCTCCAGTGTAGCTTCAGTCTGGCTGCCCACACAGCTCCATGACCCTGTAGCTCTGATCTACATAAACAAACACACACACACACACATGCGTACACATACATACACAGCCAAACAATTTCACATCTGTTAGCACTTACAAAATTCAGCATATGAAAGCTCTAAAAATAGAGCATAAACTCAAGCATAGTATAGATGAAGTAATGTTTACAATATTTACAGCAGTGAGGAAGATCTGACCTCTGGACAGTGTCCATTCCTGCTCTTGTTCTGTGCTTGGTGTCCACTCACAGTCCAATTAGCTAGCACATTAGCCTGTCTGCGGTGAGCTTCCTTCTCCAGTCTCACCTCTAACCTCCATCCATGGGCCTGAGAACCAGATTCATCTGAGGAGATACGTTCATGTAATTTTTTACAAAGAAATGTCCACCACATGAGGGTAATGCTGCTAATAATCAGGGCTGCACTATATGGACAGAACACAAGTATAGTGACCATATTGCCACACATCATGCACTATATGGACAGAACACAAGTATAGTGACAGTATTGCCACACATCATGCACTATACGGACAGAACACAAGTATAGTGACAGTATTGCTACACATCACGCACTATATGGACAGAACACAAGTATAGTGACAGTATTGCTACACATCACGCACTATATGGACAGAACACAAGTATAGTGACTATATTGCCACACATCACGCACTATATGGGCAGAACATAAGTATAGTGAACGTATTGCCACACATCATGCACTATACGGACAGAACACAAGTATAGTGGCTATATTGCCACACATCATGCACTATATGGACAGAACACAATTATAGTGAACGTATTGCCACACATCACGCACTATATGAACAGACCACAAATATAGTGACTATAGTGCCACACATCACGCATTATACGAACAGTCCACAAATATAGTGACTATAGTGCCACACATCACGCATTATACGAACAGACCACAAATATAGTGACTATAGTGCCACACATCACGCACTATATGGACAGAACACAAGTATAGTGAACGCACTGCCACGTCATGCACTATATGGACAGAACACAAGTATAGTGACAGTATTGCTACACATCATGTACTATATGGACAGAACACAAGTATAGTGACTATATTGCCACACATCACGCACTACATAGACAGAACACAAATATAGTAATCATATAGCCACATATCAAGCATCAACGTATTTTTAATACAAAACCATACATGATATGTAGCAATATGATCACCATACAGACCAAACACAAGTATAGTGATTATGTTGCTACACATGTACTGTTTTGAATTAAAAATACATTGGTGCATCAACAATATGACATAAAGCCTGCACTGTTCTGACCAAAATATTCTACTTTTGGTGGATTACATGAATAGCAATCAATCAGAGCTGTGTAGGCCACAGCCACGCCATACAACAAGCCAGGCTTCAGGCTTACAGCTAGCTCCAGCATAGCTAGGGTGAGGGATCCTGACCATTGACAGGCTAACAAAGTATGCAGAGAAACAGATGGACTACAGTCTGTAACTGTAGATCTACAAAATGCTCCTATATGGTAAGTGGAGCTGATAAAATGGACAACGAGTGTAGAAACAAGGAGGTGTACCTAACAAAGTGCTCGGTGAGTGTATATTGCATTACCTCCTTAGGTAACAGTACCCCAGCTTACATACGGTTTATGTGTACAGTACCTTGTTGTTGAGATCCTGCAGGTCCAGCTGAGTCTTGATGCATCCACTTTGTGTGGTGTGTCAGAAGATGTGAGCCATTGTGCCCAGCATACACCGTCCTTACTAAAACAGTGCTGGGAAGTGAGGCCAGCTGTATATACAAAAATTACAAGATACATTCATAAGAGTGCAGGGAAATATAGCAATACATATGAATAAATAACATATAGAAAATGTGGTCGTTCAGCCCACATTTGCCATGTTGAACCCTGAATGTTTCCATATTGTATACATAATGTTATAATGTGTCAGAAACCGTATAGTCTATCTGAGATTCCTTAACACCTTTATGAGGCAAGTTTGTGATGATTTAAGCATGCAGTCTGCACAATGCTAAACAGCATTTGCCCTTATAGCTCCAATATATAAAATAGGAAACAAATCTTGGACACTAAATGCCTTGACTGATCGACTATATTCGGGGTAAGGGGAAAAACAGTGATCGGATTTTTTTGCTGAACTATCTTATTAATTATATGTCTGCTCAGCTGCTTCCAAATTCCAGTCGCTTACCTGTGGTAAAGACTGATAGAAGTCTAAAATCTGCTTGAATCCGAGCTTTGTACGGACCAACTGGCCTTCAAAAGACATCATGTTACTGTCTATCAGTAACTCTGTTGCTGCCTGGACTGCAGAAGATGGATATTTCAGCTGTATGGGGTCAAATGCATGAGATTAGTGACCTGGTTTAGACGATGTCAAAACAAGTAAAGATGTCATATCTGGGTTTTTCATACCTGCGACTTGGCATGAAACACAAACGGCACATACGGTTGTAAAGAAGAGATGTTGTGGGAAACGTTCACCTTCAGCCCGGAGCTAAAATGAAACAAACAGCTATTTGAGTTACATTTTGTGAAGACAGTTTTATGCAAGTGTGTTTGGTCCTTAAGGCAACATGCAACCAGGAGCAAGACCAGATTGTTTACAGTGGGGTGGCCAGGCTCGGTCCAGCACTTTTAGTTGGAAAAATGAAATGAAACCGCCCTTAATAATGTTCGTCTGTGCTTATTTGAGGCCTACATTACTGAAATACATGTTTTCAATTAACTGGTTGACCACATTTTTACAGCTGAAACCGATTTTAAACCTGTTTTTAATAAGAATCAGTGAAAATATACTGTTTGCTTCATTCATTGTATCATTTTCATTGCTGAATACTGTGTCACTTGTTAACATCATGTGATCCACAGCATAACGTATAACAAACCAAACATACTGCACTATATTGATGTAGAAATGTATATAGGTGCCTATAACTCTGTTACTCTAATGTAGAATTCCAGTATTAACTGCTTCTTCAAGCTAATTGAACAAAGCTGATGTTAAGGTTTTGACTAGTGTTCGCTCATCTGCTTGCTCAGCAAAGTGCATACCTCACTCTGCATACCTGGGATGGCCAGAAGGGCCAAACATCATACAAGGGTAGCACTGGCCACCCCGGCCACCCCTGGGCTACACCCCTGCATGCAGTATAGCTTTTGTAAGTTAATTCAACTTGATGATTTACCCCGACTCAAACTTCTTAGTTTAGTCTAACGTTCTCTTAAACTTTTTAAGTGTTGCATTTTAGTCATGTAGATTATAGATTACGTTGAGCTGATTCAGAATAAAAACACGGTTACCTCCTTATAGGCTGACATTGCTTACATTTTTGTTTTGGACTAGTTACATTGTCCCCCCTAATTAATGTCCCTGTTAATTTCTATCCACAGGCATAATTTCTATCCTATCGCATGATGCCCCAGGCTGGGGAGGGGGCTGGGGGGGCTGGGTCTGAGTGTTAATTCCTCTTGGTCTTTTTACCAGGGAGGGCTGTGCTGTCTCCAGGATTCGAACTCATGATCACATGAGGAGAGGGCATTCGAGACCCCTGCACTGTAAAACATACTGCATGTCGAAAGGTTGAGTTCAGTGAACTTAATATTACAGCTTAAAGTTCAAAAAGTTGTCAAGTTAACCTGGTAACTTTTCAAAGTTAAAAGTTGCAGATCTTTTTATAGTGTAAAATTACGCAACTTCACCTCATGAACAGGCAACCACATTGACTATTTTTAAGTAAGCTGAACTTGTTCTTGCAACTTAAACCCATTGTTTACCTAACTGTGCTATAAAATGCAGGTTAAGAGAAATGAGTTAGCTGTAGCTGTAAGTTCTCCTCACCCCAAATCTAGTCAAATGTGCCAAAGCAGGTCTGGTGTCTAAAGTTTGCTTCTTCAGTTTTGCACTGGAGTTACAAGCCTACTGTTGCTAACAATGGAGGCTTAAAACTGCAGGTCTAAAGCATCACACTAGAGGTCTGCACTCCCGCCAAAATATCTTGCAGCGCAGGAGTAATTTTCAGTGTTGTGCACAGGAGCGGGCGGGAAACCAGCCCACTGCAGGCGGGAGCGGGCCGAAGCACACATGAAGAGAAATCCTGCAAATTAATGACCAGCCTAAATAAAGCAGAATGATCACTAAATCATATGTGTAAACAATATAAAATAATATTAGTAAAACAGTAAAAATTAAGTCATTCTAAAGAGGCACAATGCACAAATTCACATAGCTTTGGCCTGATTCACTCATACTGCTTCTGTGTGGCGAGACAGGACAAAATGTTTCGGTTGTGGACGGAAGCGGGACAAATGATTCCACGGGAACAGGTGGGAGCAGGATCAGACCTTGCGGGAGCGGGCGGGAGCAGGACAACATCACACTTGTCTTAAACCGTGTTCAGTTGTTAAGTAAACTCAAAAAGATGTCTAGACTGCTACATTATGCTTGAAGCTCCAGTGAAAACATGTCTGACTATATTTGGAATAAGTGAACAATTGTGTAAATGATTCCTGTGATATTCATTAAGGCAGATGTGTTTATACTGAACCTGGAGGAAAGGCGGTGACCCTGGATCTCGAATGACAGCGACGTCGTCTCTGGTTTCTCAACACGAATGGAATCTGTGAGATTGACCCATATCTTCACCTACCAATGCGCAGAGAATGGTTTAGTACGGCTCTGTGTATCCACATGTACCACCATTCAAAAGTTCAATAATGTCAGAAATGATAGAGGAAGCTATACAGCATCAAAAATGAAGTTATAATAAAGATGAATATCCAGCAGTCCTCATATTTCAAAAGTGCATAATTACACTATATGGTGTATTATTTGACCCTTTAAATAACCAGGGCCCACCAGCAGGCCCAAAGCTTTATTACATACTTCTATACCTAAGAACAGTTCAGCCAGTTTGCATTGAAGTCCCTGTAGTTACTAAATAATAAGGCTTAGTATGTAATAAGCCTGGGATTTGAAGGGGTTAATAAGTTCTGGTTGTTGACATTGCCATTCATTGTTTTGGCCATCAATCTAAACCTGCATGATGTAGGGTAAAGCCACTGATAGGCTACTACCCAAGTTTGTTTATCAGACAAGGCGGTTGGCCAATGAAAGTGACTCTCCAGCCAGTTTTAAAATGAGTTTTGATTGTCACTGTGCACCTGTGGGCATGAAAAATAATGTTAATGCTAATAATATCATGTTTCACTTGCTCCTACCATCATCCCCACCTATCATGGAGAGAAAATCGTCCACAGTAAGACTTTTTAAAGATCTGCAAAAAGACAGGCAGAGTTTCAGCAAAATGTTTCCATGTTTCATAAAGTTTTTCCTGTAGTCACTGAGCAGAGCGGTGACGTGTCAAAGAAGCAGAGCCTGACTGGTCCTCTTGTGTGTGTTCAAAGTGCTAAATGGCTGGCAGATAGAACCTTATAGAACCATGTAAGAGTCTGACTTTGAAGATAGAACCCTTTTGTTTTCTAGATAAAAGTCCAAAAATGCATAGAACTTTTAAAAAACACCTCATATAATGTTAAGTCTCAGAATAAGAATATATGAATAAATCAATTTTGACAAAAATGTCAGATAGAACCTTATAATTCCAAGTATAATTCAGAGACCCTCCCTGATACCATGTTTCACATACGGAGGGAGAATGTGTTATGATATTCGGTTCACGTTGACAGCCTATGATTTTTTCTTAACATCTACAAAATTAATGTCCACTTTCAATGAGCTCCCCCACAGTAAAATACGCACTGCTTTATAGAGAAACATCCTACAGGTTTTGCTATGACAATATTCCAATAAAATAATTTATACATTTATCGATCATTAAGTAATTATTCCCAACCGCCCTATGAAATATTGGGTAAAATACCTTTTGGTGTGTAGTTTATTATTATGAAAAGACATTATGAAAAGAAGGAAGTGAGTACTGAACAGGATCAATCCTCCAAATCAACAGAATCGTGATCAGAGGAACCCCCCCATACCCGCAGCGACTGGTCCAGAGCCTGTGTGTAGCAGAAGCCCAGCAGGTGATCCGGGCTTAACTCCCCTGTGAAGTTCACCTGTCAAAACAAGCCGTCTGTCCCATTAGTTTGTCTTCCTCGTAGGAGAGGAGCGTGGAATCAGAGGCATTTCCCTCCAATAACAGGCCGATCGACCCAGAGAGCACCAGGGTCTCTAGGCCAACCATGCAAAACCACTAAAGTGATGCGTGCCTAAGCTTCAAGAAGTGACTGTTGCAAGTGATTTAAACTTGTAACACATACCAGTCAAGTCTGGACACACTTTAATTTCGAAGACAAACACAATTAGTGAGCATGGAGTAATATGTGCCCTTAATAATGTGTTTGAGCCAATCAGGGTGGGGTCTAACTGGGAGAAGGGCACACTGGGCTCGATGTTTAGATCTCAAACGCAACATCAACATTATATTGATGAAGATATGATGACAACACTAGATAATTTACTCCCATCCTCAGAAGAAACGTCCTTCACCAAGTTTTAACTGAGCTCTCTTTAAATACTCTTTCAACGCACTCGCAATCATCAGATTCATCTGCTTGGGGAAGGGGTCGGAAGCTCTTTCCACCAGAGAGGTCTCCACATTCCCAAATCTTACATAGTGTAGCTTATCGCCTTAATGGCCAGTGCCCACCAGTGGGTCCAAAGCTTTATTACACACTTCTATAACCCAAGAATAGCTCAACCAGTTTGCACTGGAGTCTTATAGTTACTAAATAATAAGCCTTAGTATGTAATACGCCTGAGACTTTAAAGGGTTAAATGGAGTAAACTTTTAATTAGCTTTATAAGTAGATTTTGTTTATCCGATTGCCACTGCTATGCCTAGCTAATGATGTATTACCACACAAGTGATACACATTCTATTAAAGCAGTGAAAAAAGGGAACTATATAAATGCTTAATTGTTAATAACTGTTCTATAATTGTGAAATTAGGAATTGTAAAGAGTTTAAAAATAAAAATATCAAGCAAATGATAAAAAATAAAATAACGTTTTCTGGCTGTAATTATTTTATTGTGTGTTTAAGGAATTTAGCAAAAAATTATTTTTACCCATATATATAAAACTCTCATTCAATTAAGACAGTGACATTAGTGACATTTGTCATTTTTAAGACTCCACTTTGGGGCCTACATGAATCTCAGAGCAAACATTTGGGGGCCAGTTCTGGGACTGTTCTGAAAAAAAGTCAGTTCTGATAAATGTGTTCAGACTTCTGAATGGTGTAATACTGTGTGAGATGAATATTATCATGAGATTTTAATAAAATTCAGTAAGAAAGGTGAAGAATCGAAGGTGTACTAACCAGTAAGTGTCCGGTGGTTTCTGTGGAGTTGTGCACTCCTCTCTGCAGCGTGATCTGTAGCTCTTTGAACCCAGCATGGAGTCCCACCTCAGTCAACAGCCCATTCTCACTACAGTTAACATGAACCACTGCAGTGTTGTTAAAAGGAAGCCCTGCTCCAATGGAAATACACAGAGGAATGTATGTTAGGGCTCTCCTAGAGGAAATATGGGTACAGTAGACAAAAAACCCACTGGAGATCATGTATACATGATAAATATACACACAAATATAATATGAGCCTGTTTACACATTGCATCAACATGCGTGTTCAGTGATTGGATCATATTAGAGTCTGCTGAGTGCTGACTAGCAGGTGAAAAGGCAAACAGGGAAACGAAAGATGGAGGGTGCATTGGTCTGGGGTCACCCCGAAACCAGAGCCATCCTGTTGTCAGGGCTGACATTATATATATGGTTTTATATAGAGCCATGAACACACAAAGAAACATGTGCATGACTAAATTGTTCTTTGCATGATTCTTCAGATTGATAGAGAATATGTTATATATGGTTCTATACAGAACTTTTCTGAATAGGGTTCTATATTGTACCAAAAGGTTTGTACTATTGTTACAATGTCCAGCTTGTAACAGTAGAAGAACCCTTTTTGGTGCTATACAGAACCATTTTTGAAAGGTTTTATACACACACTCTTAAAAAAGATGGTTCTTCAAGGGTTCTTTAGTAAAGAAAATGGTTCTATATAGAACCATGAACACTCAAAGAACCATTTGCATAGTTAAAGGACTCTGTGGTGAAATGATTCTTCAGATTATTACATAGAACCATTTGAAAATGTTCTATGTAGCACTAAAAAGGGTTCTGCTGTTCTTATGATACCAAGCATGTAACAACAGAAGAACCCTTTTTGGTGCTTGGAGAACATTTTCAAAAAGGTTTTATATACAGTCTTTAAAAAGATGGTTCTTCAAGGCTTGTTTAGTAAAGAAACTGGTTCTATACAGAACCACAAACACTCAAACACTGCATGATTAAATGGTTCTTTGCATGATTCTTCAGACTGATGATGAATATGTTATATATGGTTCTACACAGAACCTTTCTGAAAAGGGTTCTATATTGTACCAAAAAAAGCTCTACTGTTGTTACAACGTTAAGCTTGTAACAATAGAAGAAACCGTTTTGGTACTATCTAGAACTTCTTTCAAAAAGGTTCTGTATAGAAACAGCACATCCTCTACAGCACATCCTCCATCAGTCTGAGGAACCATTTCACCATGCAAAGAACCCTTTACTTATGCAAAGGGTTCTTTTAGTGTTCATGATTTTATTTAGAACTATTTTCTTTACTAAAGAACCCTTGAAGAACCATAATTTTCAAGTGTGTAGAACCATCTACAGCACATCCTCCATCAGTCTGAACCCTTTCACCATGCAAAGAACCCTTTAATTATGCAAAAGTTTCTTTGAGTGTTCATGGTTCTGTATAGAATCACTGTCTTTACTAAAGAACCATTTAAGAACCATCCTTTTTAAGAACCATGAGCACTTAAAGAACCCTTTGCATGCTTACAGTGTTCTTTGCATGGTGAAATTGTTCTTCAGACTGATGGAGAATGTGTTGTATATGGTTCTACGCACTTAAAAAAGATGGTTCTTAAACGGTTCTTTACTAAAGCACCGTGGCTATGTAGAACCATATACAACACATTCTCCATCGATCTGAAGAACCCTTTCACCATGCAAAGAACCATTTACTCATGCAAAGGTTTCTTTGAGTGTTCATGGTTCTATACAGAACCCTTGAAGAACCATCATTTTTAAGTGTGTACAGTGTGTAAGAGTTCACCTGCAGATAGTAACGAGGGGAAGGAGTGGTAGAGCTGGGCATGGAGACCAGTCTGGCCATTCTGTACAAAGCTGCTGCTGATGTTGATGCAGAGTGACCGCTCCTGAGCCAGCACACACAGCCAGGCACCTTCACACTCGTTCAGCCCGGAACATGCAGCATCCCTGTGGCTCCGTCTCAGCTTCACGCCATATACAGCATGATCCACTGTTACGGTCAGCTGCCCTGTAGAGCACCAGAGGGAAGATAAAGCAGTGATCAAAATACCTCATTATCATGTCATCATCATGAACGTGCTATGGACAGATGGGGGCTGATGTTTCAAACTCCTGAGACCCTATTTTGGTGTTACAAAGTGGTGATTACTGAAGAGGAGCAACAGTACTTTTAGCACTCATAACACGACTTTTGAGGGTTTCTTGAATGGCGAAGGAAACAAACAAATTAAACTGCTGACCAAATTAAGCCTCACCTCCAACTCAAAGCTGAGATAATCAAACTGATTTACATATTAGGAGAATGACCATATTAGGAGACATATTAGTAGAAGAGTGTATTCTGCAGAAACAGTAGGCCAGGGGTCAGCATGCGGTTCTTTTACTGCCCTGTTGTGGCTCCACAGCAGAATTAGATTTGTAGGTAAAAATAAAATAACCTGCCTTTACAGTAAAATAAAGCTCTGCTGATCGTTCAACACAGTTTTAACAATAAGTGGTCTTAAACGCTGGAGTTAATGTATAACCACTAATTCACCCTTTAACACTGAAGATTGGGGTACAGACTGTTGGTCACCATAACAACGCAGACAACAGTCTTGCCTAGCTAGTAACAAAACAGCAAAGAGAGAGATTTAAGACGAACATCGATAATTTTGAGATGGGTGGACTTATTTGCATTTAGAATCACTCCAGCTGGTTCCCTGATACGTTTAATCTGCAACGAGAAACTGTCAAATGCTAAAAAGTGCCAAAACTGAAGTCAGATTCTCATTTACCAGCTTCTTGTTCGAATTATCCCGTTCCACCTTAAATGGTGCAACCGTTGCATTCTGGCGTCTCAGGGGCCATTTAAGGCGGAATGGGAAAATTCGAACAAGAAGCTGAAATCAGCCTCGTAAAAAATCACGTTGAAAGTTTTACAAGAAACTATTCTACTTTTGTGGGAAAGTTCCCTGCCAGAGATGCGAGAAAAGTGGCTATAGCTGAGCTAAAGCTTAAAGCATTTTTACCCTTTAGGACATTAGCACATACTGAGACATATTTGCAGCCTGGATGGTAAAATGTTACTTCAATAAAATGTACATAAAATGTGGCTCCCAAGGTGGTTTGATTTTTGTTGAAAGAACAAAATAGCTCTATAACATCTGGGATGCCGACCTCCGCACAGATGGTTGCCAGTAGCTGGTACCGACTTGACGGAACTTCATAAGGGCTTTTGCCTAATTGCGTATGCATTTATGGGAGGTTCCCTCTCAAAAGCAAAATACTGGGAGGAGTTTATTATAATGAAGAACCTATTACAATTTACCAGGGCTAATACTGATTTATGGTTATGTGCACTTTTTAACACTTTGGAAAAGTTTGCATTATTTTTGGCGCTTACACATATACACATTATAAAGGAGGAGACGGTCACTGATTAAAATATCAATGGGAAACCTTGTGACGCTTAACATGGTGTCTGTTTACCGTTTAAGCTAGAAGCAGGAAAAGCTCCCCTTGTCATGGAGATATGCACAAGCACAGAAGCCAAAACAAGCTGAAAAATCCCATTTTTTGTGTGTTTTTTTTTTCCCAAATGCAACAAACTATTCATGCTGTTTTTGTCAGATTTTATCAGTGATTTCAAATATGTATTTTAAACATTAATATGGCTTTTGGTTTCAGTCTTAAAGGCCTCTCCCTATTCACAGAGTAGAGAGAAAAAGAGTATGTTCTTGCATATATAAATAACTGCCCGGCGGCGTTGCCAAGATGGCTTTCAAGTGGACAGACATTCCTAAAAGGACTTATTTGTATTTATTCGAATACTTTTCTAAGCAAATTTACACTTACTGTCCCAGATAAACAGCTTTTCTCAGTTGGCTTAAGACATAGTACTGTACTTTCGTATGCTTCGCATCATTGCCTACCTTCAGTGAGACTGTCCGATTGGTTCAAAAGCCCTGCAAGGCTGGAGGTGTGTGGCAGGAGGGAGTAGCCGATCAGAGAGATACTTAGGTTCCCTGACAAACACAACAATAACCCAGGGTTTTGCACTACAGCTCCGCTCAGCTGGGCCCGAAATATCTCCTCTCTCCTTCCCAGCGCACACAGGACAACGAGACTGAGAGAAAGAGAGAGCGTGAGAGATGTAAGAGACAAAGGAAAATATTGAGATATAAATTAATACAAATTAAAGAGTTAGTCTGGCAAAATATATCATTTAAACAAGCCTCCCCTTGTCCCAAAATGCAGCTGATCAGTCCAGACATGTTTGATGTCTAAAGTTTGCTTTTATTTCTGAACTGGAGCTGCAATGCTAATGTAACTAACAAGTAATGGAAACTTATACCCTGTTGATCAGCATCATAGTTAATGGACAAAACTATAAGTAGTGCCAGAAGCCACAACAGTAAGTCTATTAGAGATTACTCAGTTACTTATCACTGTTCAAGGCAAGTGTATTATGACTTCGGCATCCAGTTTGCAGTGGGATATTCATGTCCATTACTTTCTAACTGCACTATCCTTGTAGCTCCAGCGCAAAACATAAGAAGCAAATATTCAGACACAAAATGGCATGTCTTGACTTGGGATGCACTGACGCCATTTTTTTCAGACCCAGGATGAGTACATTTTTTATTACTTGCCGATACTCACACATACTCAGCAACTTACTTAGAATTAAGTAGTTGTTAGTGTGAATGAGTGCAATGCACCTTAATGAATAAATCATTCAAGTCTTGCTGATTTTATTTGATGTGCATTAGCTATCTGTGCTACATTGGTTACCTTGGACAGTGTTTTTTTTCCACATCAGAAAAGCACTTCTGTACAGCTGTCAGTAAAGTAAGTTTCATAGTTTTGATCCTCATCTGTCTCTTCAGCAGTCTCTGTAGCACAGCAACAGCAGGAACCAAATCTGAACAGCTCACCTGTCTAGTTTTACATCTAGTTGGAGTCGTTTGGCTGGTTGAGCTGTAGCTGAATGTCTTCTCAAGCCATTTTCCTTCATTTTGCTAGCATGTATGTGTTCATCGTACTGGGGAAGTGGTTGTGATTGTGTGTGTGTGTGTTTAAAATGGGCTAAAATCGCACTGTGTATTTTCTAGTGGAATTATGCTGAGGCAGGATGTTTAAAGTGACCAACAACTTTGTGTCCAACTGCCGAGACGTCACTGCCGTTTGAGTCGTCGTGGCAGTATACACAAGGTGTCCCATTTCAGGGGCTGCATCCTTCAGAGGCTACATATGAAGGCCGATTGCGCTACCTGTTAAATGTAGGTATTGGGTTTAAACCGAGTCAAATAACTAACAATACAAATGTTAAAAAAAGCCAATGTGGTCCGAAGCAAAACTTACGCTAACGCTTCATTTTGTTTTAGCGAGCAAGGAGCAGACAGAGAGAAGCATTTCCAGCTCTAAAAAGTTTCTGGCTTCATCTTTAAAGAACTTTAAAAGAACTTGACAGGAGCAGTGTTTCGTGACGCAACGGTATGGGCGGGAACAGCGTGACACAAACAGGAAATCCGCCGTAGAGCAGACCGTCTCATTTCGGTTCAGCCTTTGTGGGTCTATGTAGCCTTCGAAGGCTGCATCCCCTGAATAGGGACGCAGCTATAGTATCACGTGGTATCACATGTTTATATCAATGCATTTTTATGAGTACGAGTATGTTATTGGGCTGATACCTGATACCAGTATCAGTATCTATGCATCCCTAGTCTTGACTGATCAACTACATTTGGAGTAAGAAAAAAACGGTAAATTAGATTTTTGCAGTAACGAGTTTCCCAAAACAATGAAAAAGAGATAAGTTCAGAAAATCACAAGGCCAAATTCACAAAAAATTACCTATCTGAGGATGAATTTGCACTGAGATGGAGGTGGCCATCTGTAGTGACCACTGGAAAAACAGTCTGCTGAAAGCTTACGTCGAAGTTGAGAAAATGAACGCCCATTCGCATAGCATTAGCTAAAGAGACATCCAGTGTAGCAATCTTCTTTCCATTGGACCCCAAATATATTGAACTGCTGAAATTTCCATTAGATCTCTCTATTCTTAAATATGCCTGAAACAGAAATATTAATTAACACACATTTGTCATGTTTGGCCTAGTGACCTACAGAAAAACATATATTTTTTTAATGCTGACATGTTGATGTGTAGGTTTTTACATTATAGTCTTTATCATCAATGGTCACTTTTCCCTTTGCGATGTATTCAAACTCCTTGCTTCTCCTGTGGCTTCTCAATAAGTCCACATCTAGGCTTACTGTTGCTGGAAACTTCAACTGGAATGGAATTGGCAGTAGTCAGTTACTGGCATTCAGGCAGTTAAGAGAAGACAGACAAAAACTCTTAATACGTAGGAGCTGACATGGATTTAAACCAGAGTCCAGTAAATGGGATATACAGGCTAAAACAAGCCTGGTGGCAGCATCAATTAATCGCACGCATACTCAGCAATAGAAAGTAAACTGGCAACATGACAAATGATAAGAGGTGACCGCTATTTGACAGATTATACATCTTACCATTGGATATACATCGATCAGGCATAACATTATGACCACCTCCATGTTTCTACGCTCATTGTCCATTTTAACAGCTCCACTTACTATATAGGTGCACTTTGTAGTTCTACAGTTACAGACTGTAGTCCATCTGTTTCTCTGCATACTTTCTTAGCCCCCTTTTACCCTGTTCTTCAGTGGTCAGGACCCCCACTATTTGGGTGGTGGATCATTCTCAGCACTGCAGTAACACTGACGTGGTGGTGGTGTGTTAGTGTGTGCTGTGCTGGTACAAGTGGATCAGACACAGCAGTGCTGCTGGAGTTTTTAAACAGTGTCCATTCACTGTCCACTCTATTAGACGCTCCTACCTTGTCAGTCCACCTTAGATGTAAAGTCAGAGACGATAGCTCATCTGCTGCTGCACAGTTTGTGTTGGTCATCCTCTAGTTCTTCATCAGTGGTCACAGGATGCTGCCCAGAGGACGCTGTTGGCTGGATATTTTTGGATGGTGGACTATTCTCAGTCCAGCAGTGACACTGAGGTGTTTAAAAACTCCAGCAGCACTGCTGTGTCTGATCCACTCAGACCAGCACAACACACACTAACACACCACCATACACTGATCGGTGTATGTAATATATAATTTGTAACACTGACTATAGAATTCTCCTCTTTACTACAATATTAATGCATAATTGATGGATCAAAATTTGTCTTTTTTCCTCTCACTACTGTTACATTTGGGAGGAAAAGCTTGTTATATAGTATGTCAACAGAAAATGAACCAAGCTGAAAATTGATAGTGTGCAATAATATTTGGCTCATATCACAGACTATCCAACCCCTCACTGTGGTGGATCTCTGGTAAAATAAAGCCTAACGGGGTAAAAATGTTTAGTCGAGACTTCCTGAGTTTAACTAGCATGACGGTATAGATACACTGAGACTCTTGACGCTCCTTATAAAATTCTGTAAAACTCAAAATTCTAAATTAGACTTCTAAACCATTTGGAACAGCTGCTGAAAGGGAAAGAAGAAGTATATCCTTCGGTTTACCTGAAGCAACTGAGTGAGGCTGACTTTGATTGTGATACCTTGTTGACCATGAAGTTGGACCTGTCCAAGAACTCCAAACTTCTCTCTCTTAGCAGTCAACATCCTCCCCTGCAGCTCCTGCACAGTCTGCAAGAAGAGATCAGGTGGTGTTGAAAAGGAATGTTTCCTTCAGAAAATTCCAGCTAGTCCCACCAGTATACAGTCATGTGAAGAAGTAAGTACACCCCATGAAATATTTCTCTTTTTAGACACATATGGACATATCAGTATTTGATCTTCAGTTAAACAGCGTGCATAGACAAAAACAATTAAAATTTGACTTTTTTGTTTGGGGGGGCTTCGCATGTACAGCCTGTTTCAAACCCTCCCCAGCAGCATTTCAATGGGATTCAGATCTGGGCTTAGACTAGGCCATTCCATAACTTCCTTTGGACTATTCCTTGGTGGATTTACTTGTATGTTTGGGATCATTATCCTGTTGGAAGGTCTACTTCTTTAGCTTCATTTTTCTTTACAGATGGTCTCACATTCTCCTCAAACACTCTCTGGTATGAAAGAGAATTCATAGTCAATTCCATTACTGCAAGTTGGCCCTTAGGCAGCAACGGAGCCCCAAACCATAACACTACCACCACCATGCTTTACGGTCTGTTTGAGTTACTTCTGATCAAATGCTTTGGTTTTTGCCAAAAATTGGTTCTGGTATGGTGGCCAAACAGCTCTATCTGCAACTCATCTGTCCATAGCACACTGTTCCAAAAGTACTGGTCCTTGCCTAAATGCCCATGTAGATCAAATTTGTCTTTTTCTAATGGTAGATTCATACACTTTGACAGCAACAGCTCTTTTTTTTCACTAGATATGATGATACCACAGACTCCAATGACAAAGAGCAAACCAGATCTGAGGTTTAAATAAAACAGGATATTCTCTAACAGTGTTGTAATCATTAGCACCTGATTAGGTGCACCTGATTTCAATTTGACGTGTAACGTAGTGATTTTGGTAGGGGTGTACTCACTTTTTCCACATAAGAAAAAATGATTTATTTCAATTCTATTGAAATTCTATGACAAAAATGTTAATTCTATGTGTCACTTGTTAAATTATATCACTTTTATCGATCAACACTGTTTAACCCCTTAAAATCCCAGGCTTATTACATACCAAGGCTTATTATTCAGTAACTACAGGAACTTCAATCAAAACTGATTGAGCTATTCTTAGGTTATAGACGTGTGTAATTTTGGGTCTTCTGGCAGGCCCTGGCTACTTAAGGGGTAAAATCAAAACTTGTTTTCTGTATCTCCAAATATGAAGTGATGTTAATTTCTTTAATTATGGATTTTTCTAGCTAATCTGTCCAATATTTTTGGAAAATTGTTTCTTTTTTTACAATAGAATATGTCCAAAAGCTACTATAACTTCTTCAACCTACCTGATTACTATGGAGACTGATGCAAATCTCAGAGTCTTGGGGGACATTTTCCAAGTTAAAAGAATGAATCAAGGAGGAACACACCTAATAACGAACACATAACATGGTGTTTTCTAAAGTGCCTTCAAAGACAGAGTTAACAATTCTACAAACTACAAGAAGAATTTCCAACCACATGCCGGTCCAATAATTAGGTTATTGTATGAAGGTATGGTATTTGACACGAATGCTCAAAAATTGTATGTGAATATTTGAGGCTATCAAGGTAATTTGCCGTTTGGTCAGTTTACAACAAAAATGTACCTTCCGGCAGGGGACTATAGCAGCAACCACAAGAATTAATGCAAAAAATAATGCTTAGCCTTTCTGAACTCACATATGGGTGCTGGGGTCGATAGCCCAGGGTCAGTACGTGAATGGCTTTTCTGTTGTCTTGAAGCAGTGACTTGGACTCAAGAATGTAGACTCCCTTATGTAGGTCAATAGTGAAAGTCTCCTGTAAGAGTAGACTTTCAGGGAGGAACTTAAACGGCTGCCTGTTGAACGGAATACAAACAGCTCTAAACAGTATACATTCAATCTCCATCTCCATTTTTCCTGGTAATGTTGCCATTTCCATGATCAATTGAATCTTTACTTTTATTGTCATCACTGTAAAAGTCAGCATCAAGTAAGAAAACAATAAATATAAGAAGCATAATAACGTTTTCCAGACTGACCTGAAGTGGAGCACCCATCTTTTTTGATACAAATTCCTGTCCTTCCTCATTTCTTCCACTCTTCCTCCTATCTCCAGCTCTAGATAAGGACTGTTTAGCTCTGAGAAGGTCATATTCATCATCACCTCGTTCTTTTTCAGCTTCTGTAACAAAAAAGGACATAAAAAAGGTCAGGGTGGCAAAACATATACAGTGCTGGCAGTGAGTCTTTCTTTGTTTTCACTATTTTCCACATCAGAATTATGACATAACACATGGAATTATGGAGTTACAAAAAGTGTTCAATGAAAATGTTTACATAAGTAGTGCCTTCCTTGCTTTGGTCTAGGTTTGTCGAAGCAGCTTCATGAAGAGCAGCCTGGGACGCTTTTTCCACAGGTTTGAAAAACTCCACATAGGCAGAGAACTTGCTGGTTAGAACTACAGAAACTTTTTTTCAAATTTCATTTCAAAAACTTTTTGAAAATGTAACATTTTTTGTTTTGAAAATACAAACCCCACTTCCAGAACAACTGGGACCTTTTGTAAAATGCAATAAAAAAATCTGTGAGTACAAAGAAAAGATTTCCAATGTTTTCACTGACCAACTTAATTGCATTTTGTAAATATAAACAAATTTAGAATTTGATGCTTGCAACACACTTGAAAAAGTTGGGACAGAGGCATGTTTACCACTGCGTCACATGACCTTTTCTTTTAATTACACTTTTTAACTATTGGGTAACTGATGAAACTAATTGCTGCAGCTTATCAACTGGAATTTTTGCCCATTCTTGCTTGATTCAAGACTTCAGCTGCTCAACAGTCTGTGGTCATCATTGTCTGATTCTTCTCGTCATCATACGCCATACATGTTCAATAGGAGACAGATCTGGACAGCAGGCAGGCCAGTCAAGCACGCACTCTGTTTACGAAGCCATGCTGTTGTAGCATGTGCAGAATGAGGCCTGGCATTGTTTTGTTAAAATAACCATGGACTTCCCAGGAAAAGATACACGCCTCTGTGTCTATGGTACCTTCAAACATATGCAGGTCACCCATGCCGTAGGCACTGATGCACCCCATATCATGACAGATGTTGACTTTTGCACCTTGGTCTTGAGAATGGAGGTATGGAGAACCTGCCTTCTGTTTTTCTCAAAAACAAGCCGAAATGTGGACTGACAGCACACATTTCCACCATCTGAGATGAGCTCGGGCCCAGAGAACTCGGCAGCGTTTCTGTGTAGAATTGATGTATGGCTTTCTCCTTGCGTAATAGTGTTTCAAGTTGCATTTCTTGATGCAACACTGGACTGTTTTAAGTGACAACAGTTTTCTGAAGTACTCCTGAGCCCATGTGGCCATATTTAACCCAGTAGCATGACAGTTTCTCATGCAGTGCCACCTGAGGGCTCGAAGGTCACGCACATTCAAGGTTTCAAGCCTTGTCCTAGGACTGAGATTTCTCTGAAATCTTTTCACAATATTATGTATGGTGGATGGTGAAAGATATAAATTATTTGCAATCTTGTGTTGAGAAATGTTCTTTTTGATCTGTTTGAAAATTCTCTCAAAGTTTGGCTCAAAGAAGTGAGCTACGACCCATCTTTGCTTGATTATCCTTTTATACTCAGTCATGATACCATCACCTGTTACTGATTCACCTGCTTATTGTTGAATGTTTCAAAACAGTTTAACTTCAATATTCTACAAACTTTTCACTCTTATTTTGCCCCTGTCCCAACTTTTTTTGAGTGTATTGCAGGCATCAAATTCAAAATTAGCTTATATTTACAAAATACTATCAGGTTGGTCAGCCAAAACATTAGTAAAAAGGATCAAGAGAATGAACAAATCATAGATTCTTGTTTTATTGAATTTCACAAATTTATTTAATTCCTTTTCCGGAAATGGGATTTGTAAATTCATACATAAGCGTCAAATTCTGTGTTCACATATTGTCTAAGGAACTAATCTCAAGCATGTAAGCATAAGCCTTTACACCCAAATGTGGAAGATTTTGAAAAATATTTTAAGTGTGACTAAATTGTAACTGGTACTGTACAGGGTATCTCATTTGGCTACACTGATCTTTGGTTGTGGTTGTGGTTTTGTGGTTTATATCAGAATGAGAGATTCTCAGTTTTCTTAACTCTACCTTTTCTAGGGTGTTGAGGCTTGCTGAGATTTTAAGGTGCTGCTTGCCATAGCTGGTGCTCATGTCCAGAGTCTTCAGTTGTTTTCCGTTGCCCAGTGAGATCTCCCACCTCAAGGCTGGTGTCCAAGCTGTGCTGATGGAGCAGGAGGCATTAACTCTACGCTTCCCCAGCATTCCCCAGCCACCAACCTGGAGAGAAGCCATCACATAAGCATGTCACTCCCCTAGCACTGCTGCTAATCAGCTACTCTGAATCATCTACTTTGAATTCCAACCAGTTCAACAGATTGGAATTTTTCAATAATAACCTACAAAGTAAAAAATAAAGTATTCCAAACCAGACACCAGGAGGTGTTTTGGATATTTTATTTGATATATTTTAAGCTTTTTTTTCTGAAACAATAAGTTATTAAATGATACATAATATACTGTACTTATTTATTTATAACCATTTCTTGTTAAGGTTCCTCAAGATTAGAGTTTCAAAAGGTACTTGAGCAGCCATGTCCCAGTTTAAGCTTAATTTTCGATAATACACACAATCTTTTAAACCACATATCCTTCTGGGTTGCAGATGGGAGCTGGAGCCTATCCCAGCAGTCACTGGGTGGAAGGCAGTGTCGCCAGTCCATCGCAGGGCAGACAGACAGACATATACATTCACTCTCACAATCACACAATTTTCAATAAAAATATTTTATATTTTTTAAATTTTCCATGATTTAATGACAGCTATTTTAGTCAACATGCACTTGTTTAACTAATTCTATCATTAGAAATATCAGAAATATCAGATTATTCTGTGCTTAAGGTGATTACAGGCTGGTTCGGACTTTTGCCAGGCTATAGTCAGTTTCAGATTCAAATCTTGGTGCTCAGGTTTGGACAGCTGTCAGACTGTGTTCGGACAATTAGGCCAAAACTTCTGGACACATCTAAACTGTCTTAATTGAGCTTGAATATGAAGTTGTAGAGTATTTACAATTTTACATTCATTTTTATATGGGTTCTGTATGAGTGCTGTACAGCTGTTATAACTTACAGCTGACTGTATTGGAAGGAACAAGCTTTGAGCAGGCTATGATTAGATGACACCATATACCTTTAGATAGGTGACCGTAGGTGTGAAAATGTGTAAGTGCCCCTCTCTGTCTCTGTTCCTCTCCTTGTAGAGCCCCTCCAGCATCAAGTTGCGAATGGTAACCCACTTGCGGGTGGTAATCTCGGAGGTGAACTGCGTGGTGCCGTGCTGAGGCTGAGTTAGCTTGTGAGCCATGTAGACATAAACCCAAGGTGTGTCCATGTTGAAGGAGCCTGTAGGTATGGTGAAAGAAAAGGCCTCAATGAAAGCTTTTGGGCTTTCTTTAACACCTTTATCCCAATTTTACATTGTGATGCCTTTGAAGAGGTAAATCTGTACCTTCCCATTTCCTTAAGGATGATTTTGCAGACATATCTTTCCAGTGAAGCCCAGCCACCAGGGGAATCTGGTCATTATAATTGACCTTTAGGTGGGTGCTGCTCTCGGTTTTCCTTCTTTTCAGGTGGGAGTGTAGGAGCTGAGTCCTGTAGTTCAGTCCTTTCTCTGGGATTCGCAGGCTGAACTGGAGAATGAAGACAGAGCTGTAAACATCATTCCCTACTGTTCATTCCTTTCAGACTCAGTCATCTCAGGTTAGGTTCACACTACGAGGCTTTGCTCGGTTACAGTTCACATGCCTTGATGAGTCATATTTGTGTTCGTAGGTGACCCCTGTAGATCTGTAGTACAAACATGTGTCATTAAACAGTTCAATTTGGCTTTTCACATGCTCAACGTTCTCTGAAACAGGCAGTACATAAGGCTACTGTGACCTTTATGTATGTCATAAACAGAAAACTGGTTATGATAAACAGCAATTTGGGGACATATCTGTCCATGTCCATGTGCCTGGCTGTGGAAAGCACTAAACAATGTGTAGGATTTATCATTGCTATGCAATTCTAGTTACTAAATGGTCATTTTTGAGTGTGATTCTTATGCATATTTAAACATATTCTGTGTGCATTCTCAGATTTTTGCATCCTCTGAAAACACTGGATTTGCATCACATTAAGGCAAAAAGCTGATTTCCCTTTAACCTGGTAATGTGAGCACAGCCTCAGTCAATCACGTTATGCTAGAACTGAACCAAATCATCTTTATTTTAATCTTTAGATGGAGATATTAGTTCAGCATGAGGCAACTAAGCTGATGTTTGATTATAAATCACATTAAAAAAGGCTGCACCTCAAGAGCATAACTGGTGAGACTCTCTCCAGACTGGTTCCTGATAGACTGACTCAGGAGGACTCTCTGTTTGTTGCTGCCCTGGTTCCAGTGCTTGCCATAGCTCAGGTCGAGTGAGGACTGGATGTGAACTGGACTCCTTTCATGCCTGAGCTGTATCTGTAATTGAGAATAACAGTGATGAAGTGACACTCCATACTCACTATGGGTGTAAATCTGCATAGATCTTGATGAATCAATCTGAAGGTGAAAGTCGGTGATTTTGGAAATAATATTCACTTAATTTGCCAAAATAAAATTCAAGATAAAGACCTGAACATAAAAAGGTTTGTATCTACATTCATTCTCAGATTAGTGCAGTGACACAGTACAAATGTGCTGAGGCACAGTATACTATGGAAGTCCAGAGGAGCCATGAGGCAGTGATAATTTTCTGGATTGTTATCTTGAAATAACAAGTCAATTATCTTGTTATCTTGAGATAACAAAAGTTGTTATCTTAAGATCACAAGATAATTAACTTATTATCGCAAGATCTCTTGAGATAACGAGTTAATTATCTTGTGATCTCAAAATAACAAAGTTGTTTCTTTTTGAGATAACAAAGTCAATTATCTTGTGATCCCAAGATAACAAAGTTGTTTTCTTGAGATAATGAGTTAATTATTTTGTGAGAGATAATGAGTTGATTATCTTGTGATCTCAAGATGAAGTTGTTTTCTTGAGAAAACCAGTTAATTATTTTGTGAACTCAAAATAACAAAGTTGTTTTCTTGAGATAATGAGTTAATTATTTTGTGAGAGATAATGAGTTGATTATCTTGTGATCTCAAGATGAAGTTGTTTTCTTGAGAAAACCAGTTAATTATTTTGTGATCTCAAAATAACAAAGTTGTTTTCTTGGGAAAATCAGTTTGTTATCTTGTGATCTCAAGATAAAGTTAATTATCTTGTTATTTTGAGATGACAAAGTTGTTTTATTGAGATAACAAGTTAATTATCTTGTTATTTTGAAACAACAAAGTTGTTGTCTTGAAATAGAGTTAATTATTTTGTGATCTCAAGTTAACACAGTTGTTTTCTTGAGATAACGAGTTAATTTTCTTGTTATTTTGAGATAACAAAGTTGTTTTACTGAGATAATGAGTTAATTATCTTGTTATTTTGAGATAACAAAGTTGTTTTCTTGAGATAACGAGTTATCTTGTTATTTTGAAACAACAAAGTTGTTGTCTTGAAATAGTGAGTTAATTATTTTGTGATCTCAAGTTAACGCAGTTGTTTTCTTGAGATAACGAGTTAATTATCTTGTTATTTTGAGATAACAAAGTTGTTTTATTGAGATAATGAGTTAATTATCTTGTGATCTCAAGATAATAAAGTTGTTACCTTAAAATCACAAGAGAATTAACTTGTTATCGCAAGAAAACAATCCAGAAAATTATAACAACAGCTCATGGCCTCTCCAGACTTCCGTTCTCTGCTGCTTTTACCTTGTGGTTTAGGAAGGTGATGTGGGAGCACTGGAGCTCATGCTCTGCTCTCATGCTGTAGCGGTTCTCGGCAGGCTCAATCTCGTCCCTCAGGTTCTGAGACATGTGACACTCGTGCATATTGTGTGAGTCGTCTGGAGAGAACAAGACTGCAGTTGATGCATTTCTCTCCACTCGTTCTAAGCAGTACTGCTGCTTGATTAGATCTCTCACCTGGCACACCGTATCTGATCCTCAGACCGGAGCTCCACTCTGGCCCACTGTGTTCAACAAGTCCAAGGATCCTGGTGCTTAGTAAGCTAGGCAACAGAAGCCCCGCGTCCACAGAGTACTGCCGCCGGACATCGTCCTGCCTCCGCTCCAGCTGCACTGTGGATGAAGTCGCAAACAACATCTTTTGATATTATCGGAGATTTGCTTACATGTACATCTTCGAGTGAAGAATATAAAAGAAAACAGCTATTAAATAAAGAAAACATGTATTAAACCAAGATAACATCCATTCCATCAATGTTAACTGTTAATGTTAGCTAGTGTAGCTGGCTAATCTGACTCAGCATCAAGACTGGCTCAATGTTACTAACTTTAGGTCACGACAACCCAAACGATGAGCTGATGTTTTCTAAACTTTTACTTAATTAGGAGTTCATAGTAAGTCTGTTAATAATACCTCCAAGGAAGATAAATCTGAGAATAACAACATGAAAACCTTTTTCCTCAACTGTAGCACTTCAAATGATGAGGCTGAGGCAGCCAGCGGTGGGTCCTGATGTGCTGATTCAACTATATGAACTCATTCTAATTATTTTGAGATACTAAGTCATTATTTTGAAATTCTAAGACATTATTTTGAGAACCTGAGTCATTATTCTGAGATGCTAAGTCATTGTGTTAAAATGCTAAGTCATTACTTTGAGATGCTGCGTCATTATTTTGAAATTCTAAATCATTATTCTGAGATACTAAGTCATTATTTTCAGATGCTACGTCATTATTTTGAGGTAGTAAGTCATTATTTTGAGTTACTAAGTCATTATTTTGAAATGCCAGGTCATTATTTTGAGATACTAAGTTATTAGTTTGAGATACTAAATCATTATTCTGAGATACTAAGTCATTGTTTTGAGATAGTAAGTCATTATTTTGAGATGCTAAGTCATTATTTTGAAATGCTAATCATTATTTTGAGATACTACATCATTATTTTGAGATACTAAGTCATTATTCTGAGATACTAAGTTGCTGAGACCAACTGATTAAACAAGTGGGATCTTGAAAGGAATGAAAACCTGCAGCCACACCGGCCCTTTGACCTTTACTGACCCCTGGCTTAGACAGTTGCACTGGTAATGATCAAAATTGGTTCATTTCTAAAGCTCTTGCCTGAGAAGGAAGCGTCTTTACTGAAGACATTTCGCAGCTTAGCAGATACACCGATCTTCCTGCTTAGCCCCTGTGTTACATTAACAGAGAGTATGACTGGACGCCCATCTGCTGCCACTTTGGCCTCCAGTTGGTAGTGGGCTCTCGTCTCTGACGGAAGACTCAGCGTCTCCATCAATCCCTGAAACACAGAGGAAAAAGAGGTAATAGAATATTAAGTCTGAGAAGAATAATATACTTCATATAAAGCTTCAGTCTGGTGAATGTCATAGACAAGGCCTCTTTAGAGGCTGCAGCCCAGAGCCTGAGAAACCAGAGGGGCCCACTGGCATGACTTTGAATGGGATAAAAGTAAAGACAACTGGAAAATATGCTTAGATTGACAGACACTTATTAGAGCAGTAGTTTTACATGGAGCTTTGCTGTCCGTTGTATCTAAGGTCACCTTTATGACTTACAATATGATCACAGACATAATGAGCTAATAGAAAACTTTATCTGTTCATTTTACTCAGCCTTACTTCTTCTCTGGAGCATGTCAAACTGAAAAAAAATCATTTTCCTCTAGTTGAGGGTTGAACTTCATTGTTAAATGCTCTTATATATGCGCCCCTGGTACGATAAACAGAGCTGGTCTTGGGCCCACTGACAGAATTAGCATAGGGCCACAGGATGTCTTAGAAGGGAATGTCACAAGCGTTTTAAAATTTCTGAATAATTCAATCATCAAGATATAAACAAAGTTAGTGTTTAGCTGGTATTACAGAGAAACCTATCAGCTAAGACTTCTACAATACAGTGGTGGTGACAGGAACCAGGGGTTGTAATGTTCACCCTACAAATATAGCCATTTTATTTACTGTCCAAAACTACCAATTTTTATATGTTGATAGTGATTGTGGTGGCATTTATAACCATTTTATATTATAACTTTCTGCGAGGGAGCTTTTAGAGGTGGACGTCTGGTTCCTGTCATTACCACTGTGAACAACTCTGACTCTGTACTTTTTTCTACAAAAGAGTATTTCACACCAAACCACTCTAAATGACTTTGTTCACGTCTTACCTATTTATTTATGCTAAAATGTTTGAAATAAATTGTGGAATTATCATTTAACCCCTTAAATGGCCAGGGTCCACTGGTGGGCCCAAAGTTTTATTACACTTTAAGAATGGCCTAAGAATAGCTCGGCCAGTTTGCATTGAAGTCCCTGTAGTTACTGAATAATAACCCTTCGTGTCTGGGATAGACAGTTCTGAATATACAATCATAGTACCTTGAGGTAATAATGGTAGCTATCATCGACTAGCAACTCTGCTCTCCCTGACCAGTGACCATTCAGCTCATGAAGCTGCCCTGTGGAAATGAACAGAGAAGATGAGAAATATCAGCCTCATTCTGATACATTCACAGTGTATCTGTCTGTATATCTGATATATGCACAATATTTCTGATGCATTCACAGCTTCATCAGTTCAACCTTGAACGAGGATGCTTTTCAGAGGGTGGGTTATTTTCAGAATCAGCCTCCGAGGACTGAGGCTGAAGTCCAGGGATACATCTCGAGGGATGGTGGACTGAGGTGCGCCGAGGAAAAGGAGCAGATTGGCTTCCAGTGGCATCCAGGAGCCCTTCTAACAAACATATACAAGAGCAGCTGCAGGTAACAGGCGAGCATGGGTTCGGTTCTCCAACAAAAACAGCAAAGGTGGTTCTTTAGTAAAGAAAGTGGTTCTATATAGAACCATAAACACTTAAAGAGCGATTTGCATGCTTAAATGGTTCTCTGCATGGTGAAATTGTTCTTCAGATTGGTGGAGAATGTGTTGTATATGGTTCTATATCTAACCTTTTTTAAAAAAGGGTTCTATACAGCACCAAAAAGGGTTCTTCTATTATTACAAGCCTGACATCATGACAATGAAGAACTATACAAAGAAGAAATATAGAACGCTTTTCAAAAAGGTTCTGTATGGAACTGTATACAACACATTCTTCATCAATCTGAAGAACCATTTTACCATGCAAGGAACCCTTTGATCAACGCTAAGTGTTCATGGTTTACATACTACTTACATACTTACATACTACTTTACATACTACTTCAAACTCCTTTATTTCAAAATAGTGAGGAAATTTCAGGTTTCTGTAATATAGACTCACCTTAACTGTGGTGAATAGAGTCATTCATTGAGGCACTAATACTAATTGAGGCCTATTATATTATTATTATATATAATATTATTCAGTTTTCTTTATTCTACTCATATTTTTGTTATTGTTACCGGTTTGGAAAAGCTGAACAGAACAAAGAAAGTTTGTGAAATTCTTGATGTAAATTTTTTTATTTGACGTATTGCAAAGCAGTTTTATTTTTGTGGCAGGAGTTTTGCTCACATAATAATCTCATTAAATATAATGTTTTTATTGCTATCTGTGAATTTGATGAAAAAAAGCTGCTGGCTTTTCATTTTATCGCTTGCAAAATGGACCTGAAGTGGATGGAAACCGAGCTAATGTGACTGGACAAAGCTTACCTGAACAGTAAATGCATAAGCTGCCTCTAGGAGGTACTTCTGAAGGCCTCTGTCCAGTTTCTGAAACCTCAGAGTAAAGAGCACCGGGCCAGCGGGCGGAAAACCTCTTCCCATCAGTGACACAGGGTACGTGACATCAGAGCACAACTGCCATCCAAACAGCTTCGACCCTGAGGCATAAAAAAACAGTATTTCACTGTATTTGTCTTCTTTAAAAAATCATTCTATTGTAACTGATACTGTAACATCTTGATTGTACATGTTTTAGGCGTGCAGGTGGTCTTCTCTTTGAGGTTCCTTGAGGCTGTGAGTTCCTCTTTGCTCTCTCCACTAACACGATACATTCTGGAGCTGTTTCAGAAAGTGCATTGAGCTTAGATTCTGTAAGACAACATCTTACGATTTGCATTTTTTAAATTTTTAACACATACATGTAAGATATTCCACTTTCATTGATTTCATTTTCAGTCAAAACAGCCATTAAAAACAAGTGATTCAGTTTCAGTGTAAGAAAAAAAACAGGACCATCAAAACTGCCCCCATCAGATAAACAGCACTTAAAGCTTTCATCTCTGAGAGAGAGGAGAAAATCAAGCTGCTTCAGATCTGAAAACATCCACAGGTGTTTCTGTCCATCCTTCCACTGTGAGAAGACGACTCAGCGCTATGGGTCTGAAAGGATGTGTAGCTGTCAAGAAGAACCTCACTGAGAAAAGGAAATAGATAAAATGTAGAAAAAACTGCACCAAAATGGTGAAACTGGACATCTAAGATGTGGTTTTCTGGACTGATGAGTCTAAACTTCTAATTGGGATTACTTGGATTATAGGAAGCAGAAAATGCAACCAACTTCTAAGACTGAACTTCAGATTTTTTGAAAAACTTCAGATTTCTTCAAACTTCTTTATATTACATAGTAGTTGAGGCTGTGATTTTCTGTTAACTATATGTTTTCTGCTGTTTTCTAACAGCGAAAAATGAATAACTTGTACTTAATGGCTGTTTTGACTGGAAATTAAATAAACAAAGCGTATTGCATACAGTATTGCATATCGCTGTGGTCGGAACAAAGCCTTGTATGTCCATTGTGTCATTTTTCCAGTTTTTATCATAATTTGAAAATGCCTGTTGACCTTTACTTCGTGTGTAAATTTCATGATGAATGGACCAAAAGAAACAGCCCAAAATGACTTGGAAAGAAGTCTGGTTTCTTTGACTTACATTAAAAATAAAGTATGTTTTTTCCTTCTCCTGTAAAGTTACCATTTTGAAGATACGAGGTTTTGTTCCAACAACAAAAAAAAGAATCATTTCTGACCTAAAAGACACAATATCCATAACATCTTCAGGTGTGTTGAGGACCATCTTTAGACTTTGCCCATTGTGCACATATACACCTCCGTCTAAGCTCGTGGAGGTTCGAACTTGGGTCGCCCACTCCAGCCCCACTCGACCGAACGCTCCGTCCACTCCCATTCTGGCTGAGATGCCAACAAATGCGCTGGATGTGAGGATAAGAACAAGAGAGTCAAGCAGATCATTCAGCAATACATTGCTGCAAATTAAGGGGGTGTTTGGGAAGGTAATGACCCCCCTGCCTCTAATTAAGGCCTCCCCCAAAGAAAGTAAAGTCTTGACTCCCTTATTAATTAATTGACCATGGCAATTGACTTTTATACTTTACTTGTGTAAAGTGTTGCATGAATATATGACACAAGCTATCTTCCTAACTCTACCATTTCATTCATTGTTTGGTTTTGGTTGGAAATAAATGGGTTAAAATCTTGACATGCCCAACAGAAAGTTGTCCAATCAGGTTTTTCCCCTGTGGTATCTAGATAGATACAGCCAGGCTAGCTATCCCATTGGTTAGGACTTCAGGAGCTGAGCAGAAGGCCTTACATATTAGATTGACTACCAACATAATTAGGAAGTGACAGTGGAATCGACCAATCACGTGTTGATTACAATGTTCTAAACTCTAGGCCTTCTTGAAGTTCTAGATACGTCACTGACTGTGAACATGAGTCGTAGGGTAAACCAGGTTTCAGTCTGGTGTATACTCTTAAAAAAGACTGTTCTTCAAGGGTTCTTCAGTGAAGGCAGTGGTCCTATTTAGAACCATGAGCTCTATTTAGAATGATTTCATGCGTAAATGGTTCTTTGCACGGTGAAATGGTTCTTCAGATGTGTTATATATTTTTGAAAATGGTTCTATATAGCACCAAAAAGGGTTCTTCTGTTGTTACAATGTCAAGCTTGTAACAGTAAAAGAACTCTTTTTGGTGCTATATGGAACCATTTTAAAAAAGGTTCTATATAGAACCATATCTAACACATTCTCGGTCAATCTGAAGAACGACTTCACCATGCGAACTATATAGAACTCATGGTTCCAAATAGAACCATTTTCTTTACTGAGGAACCCTTGATGATGTTTTTTAAGAGTGTTTTTAAGAGGTTTTTTGAGCCTAAAATAGAACATATGGAACGTTTTTATAAGCTTCAAATGTCTTTTCAATCTAGAACTACCAAAAAGGTTCATGTGCATTAGCTTAGTGCTAACATACTATTAGAAACCCCATAGAGGCACCAGAAATGAGCTTTTTTTACTGGTGTTTTTCACATTTTTTGACTGAGTTTAGACATTTATGTCACAAAATAATGGCCTAGCTCTAAGCGTCATGGTTTATTGCTGTACGGTCACTATGTGGGACATAGTGCTTACTTTGGTTTTATGTAACCGGCCAAAGAGAACTGAGACCAGTCTTTAAAGTTGGCAGTGCCCTTCACCCAGAGAGAGTAGAATGAAGACATGTTGACACTCAGTTTGATGGGCAACCCTGAAAGCGATGGTAACACCAGCTCTTCTGCCAGCACAATCGCTCTGTGGTTCACCTTAACCTCCTGACCCTGAGATGCAGAAGAGATTACATAGAGATGGTCAGTGATGTAATCTGGGAAACGAATCACGAATGATTGTGATGGAACATTGCTGAGAGGATTTGATGACATTCAGTCACAAGAGCTCTAGTGAGGTCAGGTATTGAGGTCTGATGATTAGTTCTGGAGCACAAACACCACTACAAGCTTCAAAGGTTCAGTGTTCAGTCCACAATCAAATGAAGAGGTCAGTTGCAAAAAACAGATATCTCCATTTTAATGAATTTTCATAAATCATATTTTTTTTCTTTTTTAGTGTTCATTCCAGGTAATATCAATCAAACAACTCAATAAAATACAGAAAACTTACAAAATTTTACTTTATTGTTTTTTTTTATTTATTTATTTAACTTCAGTTTTTTGGCAAAAGTAGATAACTCCAATGGTCATTTCATGTTTCAGAGTTACACAACACTGTGTATGTAACGTCCTGTCTTGCTCTGTCCTTGTCTTTCTCTGTTTTATCCCTGGTTTTCTTGTTTCCCAGTGCCATGTGGTTTTGTTTATGTCTGTCATGTGGTTTTGTTTTCTTGTGCCATGTGCTTTTGTTGCTGTCCTGGTCTGTGTCTCTTCACTGGTCCTGCCCTTTTGTTATCTGCTCCACCTGCCTGTAGTCTGTAGTCTCGCCAAATCATTAGTCCCAGGTGTTTCTTGTTTCCTCTCAGCGTATTTACACCCCTCTGTTTGCTCAGTCTCTTAGTCTTGCATTGTCTCTGTTAATCTGTTGCCTGTTTCACTGAACTTGTTGTAGGTTTTGTTTCTAGTTTAGTTCTGTTTTGTTTCATCATGGATTTGTCTGTTCTACGAACCTCTGCTACTCCGTTTCTGGACTCTATTAAATCTGATGTAAATAAAAGCAACTTGCACTTGCATCCAGCCTCACTGCCTCCTACATTACAATGTAATAGACAGAAGTTTCTTTTAAGTGCAATATTTAATATAAGACAATCAGGTAAAGTGCTGAGAATTGCAACAAAACAGCCCATTAATGGGCAATGTTAAAAGTCTGTAACATCATTCTTGGAAAATCCTAAGGATGAATGTCAAACGGCTCACTGCTCCCTATTTAATGCACTATGTGTGTTATGAAATTTTGGCTTAAACACCCAAATATTGCACTTTATCTCCAGTATGACTTGTGCCCAAATGGCTGAATCCAAAGTGGCTCTTTGTTAGACACACTGTGCTCTGTTTAGATGCAGTAGCTGTTATTTTAAGACCTACGTAGTGCACTTTGTAGGGGGAAGGGAGGCTTTTGAGATACTGCCTGAAACAGTGTTTTGTCACCTGATCCGAATACTGCGCTGATTTGCTAAACGGATTTATCGGGTTCTGTAAAACATGAACTTCCAATGCTTTGAAAATGAACAATAAAGGCTTTTGTGACAAAATCTAAGATCCAGAATGCAGTATGTGTTAAGAATAACTGACCACAGTCAGCTCGTTTTCTTAAATAATGCCGTTTATCGTTTTTTTGCACATGAACTCCTCAAATACTCTTTGCATTGTTACAAGAGCCTATATATGGTCAGTTGAAGAGATTCTCTCACCTGTAACAGCTTCACAGTGACTCCAGCCATTCTGAGTGACAGCTCTCTGAGCTGGTCAAGGAGATCGTTGCAGGTCATGAAGGTAAGGTCATTGCCGAACATCTTCACGTTCAACCAACATCGGAACTTACCCTGCCTTTCCCTCTGCCCTGTGGACTTAAGCCCAAAACATGGTTTACTTATGTCCAACGTGGACAACATTAGCTAAATCACCACACACTGGACACTGGGATTGCCTGTATGTTCATAATTAACTAAATTTATACATGATAATCGAAAAGCAGCATTTCAAGCATATGTAATGAAAAGTGAGGTCAGCTTAAAACTTTAAGCCAACTTACTTCAACAATGTTTAACTTGAGGGCACCAGAGTTCATCCAAGTTCTCCTAACTCACAGTGAGTGTGTTTGCATGCACTTAATAATCCGATCATAATCTGATTTCTGCAGTTATCTGATTATCCAAATGGTCATGTAAACAGCACACTCTGATTTCTTAGATCGGAGTAAGGTGTAGAAATCTGATTAGAAATCTGATAAAGAGAGCTGGATTTTAGCTCAGTAATCAGATTTCTTAGCGCATATGAACTCTGGATTTGTTTATATAATGTTTATTGAACTTCAGATAATAAGTTTACATAACAGAACGCAAGGCACGATTTTAGGTCAGCCACAAATAATGCTACATTATTTTGGTTCCCTAAAAAACAGAAAAAAATAATAATGTCACAAACTCAAAAATGACAAAAATGGAGATGTGAGGTTTCGCTCTCACAGCAGTATGTATATATATATGTATGTATGTATATATATTTATATATCAAGGCAAACCAAAAAAATAATTGTGTGTACCACACAATCCAATCAAAACATAACATCATGTCAGAATACCACCAAATCTGGCAATTCACCTCAGCTTTGAGGGGACTCAAGATGTTGGACTTGCAGTCGTCATTCGGAACCACTCTTTCTTGCTGGTCTGGCCACCTCTCCTCACTTCTCTTATTCCTTTTCATCCCACGTGATGTAGATTGTGTTTGACCAGCAGGCTTCTCAACAGGAGAGGCACGATGACCTTCAAAACATGCTCCAGAGAAAAGGCTCTGCGTTTTCCATCCTGAGCGCAACCTGAATGCAACACAACAGTCTAGTGAGTGGCAATTCTAACTATCTCCCCTTGGGATGCACTAAACCATTCAGAAGAAAGAAGAACGTGTTATTTTTCCCACCTCCAAGAGATTAAATGATCTGCCCAAGAGGTGAACCGTCACGTTGGCCATGGTAGAGCGTGGCAGAAAGGATTTAGGTGAGAAAACCAAGGCTCCTTCAATGTTGGCGATGCCCGGTCCTTGCAAACACATGAGAGAATACAAAAAAGTCATGGACGAAACAAAGTCATGGTAGCTCACTTCCAAACTATTGACAGAGTGACTCAAAACGTACCAGCATCTGTTGTAAAGTCCACGAATGAAGAGTACTTCCATGGTTCAGCCTCAAAGTCTCTACTGATGATGTCATGTGGCAGAGACTCCATTAGATCTTTCTTCAGAGGGTCTTCTGTCTTCTGAAGGTTGAAAAGGTGGCTCCAGACGAAGGACCCGACTGAATTTATACAGGATTCGGTGATGGAAGAGGGTGTTTTGGGACAAAGCATTAAAGGAACCATACCTCTCTTAGACATCTTGTTGCTTATAGTCACAAGTGCACAATGCTAATTGCTAGCATGTAAGCTACAGTAGTCTCACAGCTCCAGCGCAAAACTAAAGAAGCAAGCTTCAGACACCAAACATGTCTTACCTTGGGTGGACGTCTCACTGCGTAAGGTATCCCTGACAATCCTGAACACCTCCTGGTCAGGACACTTCATGAGTTGCTGATACGCAGCGATTCTGACCTCCACATCCTCTTGACGCTGCTGGTAGGCCCAAGCAAGGACTCCTCTCTGAAGAAAGACAGCATTACTGTGTTGTTGGCCTGCTGTCTCGTGGACAACAAGACTAACATTGGACCCTACCCATCAAAAAAGTCATGGTCATTCTGGTCAGCTAATTTAAAGTAAGTGAGACAGCTGTCTTCAATGGAGCGGTCACTACAGAAAAGCTGTCCTATCTACCCTGTGTAAACCCTACCATCAAATCTGTCACCAATCAGTTATAATCTGATGCTACACTCCAAAATCAGCATATCTTGCTGTGATATAGGCTATTTTGCTAAGAAAACAGAGGAGTGAACGCTGGTCAAAGCGTTAGTGGTATTACTGTGCACTTTGCTGGGCAAAGACAGGTAAAAGCACCAGAATAAATAGGCCTTTTTTACAAGGAAGTATGTAACTACTGGGTAAAACAAATTCCACTTTTGCCTTATGTTCGTATCACTTCAGCTCATCATGGAAATGTTTGTCACTTCATTGCCAAGATTGCAATTCGAGGATGTGTCCACAAACACCAAATACGCAGCAATGTGGGCGTCCAAGCTGGACAAATTATGCAAATTCTTCATGGAAGAATCCCTTCACAGCTATCAGCTAATGTCAGCTAACGTCCACAGAGTGATAAAACGATGGATAGGTTAAACTAACTATAACCAAAAAGCAAGATTAGCCATGTTAGCTAGAGATGAACTAGCTTGCTAACAAGAAGCTAGTTGGCAAAAAGCTAACCAGGCACACATTCTGTCAGGGGGGCTGCTTTATTGGTCCAGGGGACAAAATCTACACCTTGCCCAGCACTTACTTTCTCAAATGCCGGAGTGAGAACTTGACAACTGTTCCATTGAAACAGAACAGGGAACAGCACCAACTTTAAAGTGTGAGAACGTTAGTCAGCAGGGGGGAAATGCTGACACGAAGCTACTGTTCCTTCCTCTCGGTATGCCAGTTTGTACCATGGTCCCTCCTAATTGCACAAACCCATTTTTTTCTCTGGTCATCATCAGCTGTGAACCCATCAAAACTGAAGTCAGGAGGGGCTTTTTTGCCATTTTTTCTTTCCCAATTTGGTCCTGTCCAATTCCACCCAGTAGCCAGGTCTCCCCATTCACACAACACCAACAGCGCTGGGAGGGTAAAGGCTAGCACATGCTTCCTCTGAGTCATGTGAAGCCAGCCACCACATCCTTTGAACTGCCACTAAAGAAATATTACACATATCAACTTAAGTTAATTTCACTTGACAGGATGCCATATTTTGCAGTGATAAAATATCTCCTCTCCTACTTACAAACACAAATGCGGTATTGACTGAAAGTTTATGACACTTATGACAGAATTTCTACACTGAACAACATGATTTTGTTGAGAACTATCAGCATTCCACTTATGACTGACCCATATGCTTCTTACATATTGTCTATGTTACCTACTTGACCGTCACATGGGATGCGTCTGTAGGCTTGTACAGCAGCTAGTCGAAGCTCCAGCGGTGCCGAGTGGTTGAGAATACAGCTGTTCAGTTGAGGGATGAGTGCTTTAGCGGTCAGGCCTATGTTTTCCACTGCTTTCAGGACATGCAGTAGCTGCGTCAGAAAGGTGGAAACAGGCTTCCAGTCAAACGTTACAAATAAATATGTATTTATTATAGAATAATATATACACAATACTGAGCACTACTGAATAAAATGTCTTAAACAAAAATGATTAACCTCTGTGATTGGGAAGGCGCCCTGCTCTCCACAGCCCTGTGCTAGGCCCTCCTTCAGAACCTGCACAAACTGCTGGACTTCTGCCATCTGGCTGCATGGACTCTGTTGTGTTTGGCAGAGGCGGTGGACGAGCGAAGACAGCGCCAGAATAGTTTTCAAACGAACCAGAGGCAGCTTCAACAGAGCCTGAGGGACAAAAACGCTGGTAAACGAAGGTAACAAGGTGTCCTATCTGGACAATACATTTCTTTTTCAGGGGCAGGAGAGCTCACACTGATATGGCTGATCATGGACGGTGTGGGATGAGGAGTGAACGCGATGGTGCTGAGGAGGGAGCTGATGTGATCTTGATCGATCTCATTGTTGAGGATGAGGTTTGTACTGAAGTGGATGCAACTCTCAGAGCCGCAGGCAGGAAGTGCCTCCATCAGGGGCTGCCTGTAATTACAGTGCAATGAACGTAATCACAGTCAGAGCACGCTGTATATTACTGGCCAGACAATATGCTACATTATGTTTCCATGCTTGTTTAAAGGGTCAGTTTCCAATATTGCTGTAGGTCTTTTAAAGACGCTTTGCGCTTGTTTCTTGCTAAGAAGTCCAAAGTTGTTGTCGTTTTGCTTTACATTCTATTATTTCTGTGTAATTCTATTAACAAATGAATTACATAGATAGTAATGAATTAGATTTACATTCTGTATTGACAGATTTGAGTTTGCACTTCAGACTTCGTCCCTTTGGTTTCGATGTCAGAAACGGACATTGCAAAAATGTAAATGTATTGTTGTACACAACAATAACTTTTCCTCAAATTCCAACAGGGCTGTTTGATCCATTGGCAAAATGAAGAAATATAAATATAACTAAATATGGCTAATTTTAGTGCACAATTTCTGTTTATTCTTTTGATTCATTAACTATAAAATGTGCCATAACTATGTTTTTTTATGTTAAATTCAGTAAATAAACAGTAACTGTGCACTAAAATGAGCGGAGTGTGTTCTCTGTAGAGGATGTGTTCATTTATTTACAGTTAGAATAACATGGAATTTGACTGGACGCACCCAAACTTTTTTATATGACTGTATTTATGTAGAAGTCCTCATGCAGCGGTGGTGGTTTTGGAAGAATCTGTGACAAGCTTTTGTCCCAATTTAAGACCAAAATAGTTATTGGTAACATTTGAGCAGTTATTTTGGGTGGGCCAGTGACAAAAGTGGGTGGGCCTAGATGCTCTGGGTCGAATCTTACCACTGTCACTGCTTCAGGACCAGGTTTAGCTACTAACACAACTGCTAACTAATTGATGCATTAAATCCATTTAAAGGAGCAATAAGTGTTTACGAAAAACAAAAAAACAAAACGAGATCCATTTTGGTGAGTTTCCAAAAAGTTTAAGGTTTTATAAGTGTAAGTTATTTTGTTTATCAATAACTTCCTCTAAGCCTTTGTTAGTACATTTGGTTTGACCAGTATTGAGTATTAAATATTTAATCATTCTCGTTATTGACCTTTCAGCTATACAGCCAAAAGTCTGCATGGCACTGCTGTCGGAACCAAACCTCGTATCTCAATGTGTGTCATTTTGTACTTTTTTAGAGAATCTGAAAATGCCAGCTGACCTTTACGATGTGCCCAAATTTCATGATGAGCGGACCAATAGAAATGCTCCAAAAGTGCTTGGAAAAAAATGTAGTTCCATTAACTTCCATTCAAAGTTAAGAAAAAGTCAAACTTTTATTTTGGAGATACGAGGTTTTGTTCCACAAGCAGCGATATATTGGCGTGTTATTTTACGGGATGTCCATTGTCTTATTTTGTGATTTTGTACATTGAGTGTTATTTGATGAATCCTGCGCTGAATGTGTTGTTGAACAGGCTGATTATGGAAGAGTTCAGTCGATCATGTGCTGTTTATTTCATGATTCTGTCCAGTTGGGAGACCTAGGAGGGTTAGTCAAATACCAGATAGCTGAATGCTTGTGAACTGAACACTGACCAGTCATCGCGGCACTTAAAGGAGACCTCCTGCCAGACATCCTTCAGCTGCTGGAGGGTCAAAGTCCTCAACTGGAGGGCCAGACTCAGGAAGAGCTCTGATTGCTGGAGTGCAGATAACAGCAGAGAGCAAGAAATTTGGAAATTGCTCATCATGAAATTTCACACTACCACAACTGAGATGGATTCTGTTATTTTGGTATGATCCAACATTACTGTTAAGAATACCCTGAATACACTAATGTTACCACAGACTATATATAGAATACAAAAGCAAAACTTTATATATATATAGAATACAATATATATATATTTCTATGTTCTATTGGCTTTTCTTGGATTTCTATGTTTGAAAATAGCCAGAGATTTGTATAGAGCTCATACTTTATAATCATCATCAATTATGAAGTTCTAAAATCAATACAGCTGAATCACCGCCTTCAATACCTAATGACCATGAGAGGCATTCAGGTGATGAAGCAGGGCCTGACCTGTTGCTGGTCTGCAGAGTGGGCACACAGCCTCCTCACAGTGCTGGAGACTTCTTGAACTGAGCGAACTCCTCCTCGCACTGGGCTTAGAGCTTCCACCTT